GAAGTAAGTGTAACGCCAAGATAAGCCAGAGAATGGGATGCCCAATGGTAAGGAAACTGTGTCTGCAACCGTTCAACCAGGTCGGCAGAGAGCGTAATATTCAATGCTGTGGTTTTAGACAAATTGATGCGAAGGCCAGAGATAGTCGAAAAAACGGTCCAATATGACCTGCATATTGGGGAGAGTGATGAGAGGATTGGTTAAAACCAAAAGGGCATCATCCGCATAAAAGTTGGCCTTGTATTGAGTGCTAGCATAGGGGACACCAGAAATATCCGGGTGATTTCGAATGGCTGCAGCTAAAGGTTCAAGAGCGAGAACAAAAAGAGCAGGTGATAATGGGCATCCCTGTCTCGTGCCCCTGAAAATAGGGAAGGATGAGGAAAAAAAACCTGCATATTTAACAGAGGCCGAGGGAGACGAATATAAAGCCGAGATCCAAGCCAGAAATGCATCACCAAACCCCCATCTAGACAGCGTATATGTCAACTTGATCTCGAATAGGTGAGAGTAGATATTTATTAATTCGGGTGCTCAGAACCTTTCCCAGAATCTTCAAGTCCACATTTAGCAGCGAGATCGGTCTGAAAGCTTGCAGTTCAAAGGCATCTTCAGTTTTCTTAGGGATCATAGTAATATGCACCTGAAGAGACTCCAAAGAAAGCCGGGAACCCGGTTTCAAAGAATTGAAAAAGGCCATCAAATGAGGAACCAGACTGGTGGCAAATTTTTTATAGTAGAGCCCAGAAAACCCATCTGGGCCTGGAGCCTTGGAGGCCTTCAAAGATTTGATGGCTTGGTAGAGTTCAGATTCAGAGATATCCGCATTCAGGGCATCTCGGGCTGCAACGGATAAAGAGGGTAGGTGTAGCTCAGCAAAAAAAGCTACCAGCATGTTCAGCGAGAAAGGTGTTCGGTTTTGGTACAGAGAGGACAAAAAAAAAAATCTGCAAATCTATGAGTAATCTTCACAGGGTCCGAGGTAAGGCCACCACCCCTCATTCGGAGTTGAACAGGTTTATGCGTGCGACCAAGCAAATTAAGTTTCTTGGCCAACATTGGCTCCGGTCTATTGGCGCATGTATAAAACCTATGTCCGGCCCAACGTAAGGCCTTCTCAGCTCGTGTAGTAGAGAGAAGATCAAGTTCAGCAGCCACCACATCTCGAGCTTTCCAAGTAGCGTCTACCACGGCCAATCTCAAGGTCAATTCCAACATCCTCTTCTCTCTGGCCCATTTCCTGGACAAGGCGATTTGAATCAAATGACCCCTAATGGTGGCCTTGTGAGCCTCCCACAGAGAGAGAACAGCCGAGAATACAGAACCCACATTGTCCGTAAAATAGGATTGCATGTGCGAAAGAACCTGGGAGCAAGAAGCCTGAGTGGTGAGCAGGGATTCATTGAGTCTCCACAGAAAAGAGGGCCGAGCATACCAGGAAGACACAGTGAAAAGACCAATGGGGTCATGATCAGACCAGTGTGAGGTCGAGATGAAAAATTTGCCTTCTTAACATATAATTCTTCCCTCCACACTGCCAAACAAGCCTACTTTGTCTTATTAATACCTTGTCATCCAGTCCTCGTCGTCTCTTCTCTACTTTTAACTCTCTACTTTCTCCACCTCACTCACTGTTTACTAGATTGCAAATCATTTCAAAAACAAGATGCAATTTGCTGGATTGATGGTTTCAATTGGAGACAAATTAATTACAATTAATGCAGAGTCTGTTCAACTTTATAATCTATGTTTTTCACACAGACCTCCTCCTGCAAAATAATTTCAAGACTGACTAAAGCTATCCGCCAGGGGGTGGTTTCTTTACTGATTGGTTTGCTTGGAACATCTATGTCTATTGATTCCAAGTCAGGATCTTGTCCCTCTGAAATCACTCACAGCACAACGTTTATGAGGGTGATAGGACTTTTAGCTTTTTGAGTTCCTAATTGAAGTGGTGAATTTCTGCAATTATATACATGGCCGAGAATTATATATTCTCGATTGACACAAACATTGATTTATATGCATGATTTCATCTCTTTAGGATTAGTTATTCCCCTATTTGCTATGTCTCTGCTCCGCCCCCCACACATCTCCTTTAACCAGGTCATATGGGATGACTGTGGTGGTGAATGGGAGCCTTGTGATACACCATTTTGGGGATTGACATCTTACAATTTTACATCTTACCCAGGCTTTTCTAGTTCTAAGTGATAACGTTATATTTTAACGGTGATGGGTGGAGACTATTTTCAATTATTGCACATGCTTGCGCATATGTGAATCAATAAAGGTTTTTTAAAAACTACCTGGGTCACATGAGAGTACCTTCTTCTATGGGGGCTCTCCTCCATATATCTTTTTATCTAATGTCTTCTGGGAACTGTGATCCACACCTTGATTTTTGGTGAGTTATTTAACACAATAATATTTAATTCCCCTGTGTGGCGTTACAGTGGTTTCCTCTGTATCGCCTTTTTCTTTTATATTTCTTTACTGCATCTATCCCACTTAGCATACCTTATACTAAACCTCCCTCAACACTTTCCTCTTTTGACCTTGCTACTACTGAAGAGGTCACTAAGTTTTCTCAGAAGCCCGTCTCACCACGTGCCCCCTGGATCCTGTCCCGTCTCAACTACTACGGTCACCCTCTTCTGTCCTATGCTCCCTCACTCACATCTTCAATCTCTCCCTCTCTAATGGTGCCTTCCCCACCCCTCTAAAGCATGCACAGATCACTCCCATACTTAAATAGCCCTCGCTGGATCCCACCAACCTGAACAACTTAAGACCCATCTCCCTGCTCCCATTTACCTCTAAACTCTTAAAACACTTAGTCTACAATCGCTTGAGCTCCTACCTCACTGACAACAACCTTCTTGATCCTTTGCAGTCTGGCTTTCGCTCACTATACTCCACTGAAACTCCCGTACTAAAACTCACTAATGATTTACTAACTGCTAAAACCAATGGCCACTACTCCATCCTCTTACTACTAGATTTCTCTGCGGCTTTTGATACTGTTGACCATCTGCTCCTCCTCAAAAAAACTCCACTCTCTTGGCCTCCGAGACTCTGCTCTCTCCTGGTTCTCCTCCTACCTATCGCAGCGCTCCTTCAGAGTTACCAATAAACTCTGTCTCCTCCTCTCCACTTCCTCTTTCTGTAGGGACCCCTCAAGGTTCTGTCCTTGGACCCCTTCTCTTCTTCTCCATCTACACCTCCTCTCTTGGTCACTTGATAAACGCCCACGGCTTTAAGTACCTTCTCTATGCTGATGACACACAAATCTATCTTTCTACTCCTCACCTCACCCCTTCAGTCTCCTCTTGCATTACTAAGTGACATATCAGCATGGATGTCACTCCACTTCCTCAAACTAAATCTTTCCAAATGGAGCTCATACTATTCCCTACAGCCCGTGCTCCCTCCCCTGACTTCTCCATCAAGATCAATAATACAACCATCATTCCCTCCCCTCATGCCAGGGTACTAGGAGTAATCCTAGACTCCCATCTGTCCTTTCAGCCCCAAATCCAATCACTGTCCAAATCTTGTAGACTTCACCTCCGCAACATCTCCAAGATATGCCCGTTCCTGACCTCTGAAATCACTAAGCAACTTATTCACTCCCTCGTTATCTCTCACCTTGACTATTGTAACTCCCTCCTCATTGGCCTACCTCATCACGGGCTATCCCATTTTCAGTCTATCATGAATGCTGCTGCCAGACTCATCCACCTTACTAACCGTTCCATATCTTCTATCCCTCTCTGCCAATTCCTCCACTGGCTTCCCATTGCCCAGCTAATAAAATTCAAAACATTAACAATATCACATGAAGCCATTTATAACTCTGCTCCAAATTACATCACCAATCTTGTCTCCAAATATCACCCAAACCGTCCTCTCCACTCCTCCCACGACCTCCTGCTCTTTAGCTCCCTTGTCTCCTCCCATGCTCGTCTCCAGGACTTCTCCAGAGCCTCCCCCATCCTCTGGAACTCTACCCCAATCTATCCGACTATCACCTATTCTGCCCACTTTTAGGCGATCTCTGAAAACCTCTCTCTTCATGGAAGCCTATCCTGCCTTCAGCTAATAACAGAATCTTCTATTCCTCCTATCAGTTCATCACCCGCAGTTATTACCTTTTGTACCACCAGCCCCTCTCTCTTAGATTGTAAGCTCCAAGGAGCAGGGCCCTGCTAACCCTCTTGTATTGAACTGTATCGTTGCTATATTGTCTCCCATTATACTGTAAAACGCTGAGCAAACTGTGTGCGCTATATAAATCCTGTATAATGATGATTGTTATTAAGTAATATAGATCAGTAGAATATGTAAAAAAAAATAAAAAATAGTATGGATGGAGGAGTAAGAGCAGCAAAGCCAATCAAAGTATTAAATACAGAATAAATAGAAACAGCTGTAATAAACAGAAACACTTCAGAAGCAAGGCAAAAGGAACAGTTTGTTGAACTCAGTCTCTACAAATCCCTTGCGCCTGAGGATGCTGTCACTGAAAAATACTGCACTCCTACTAAGGTGATATGTAGAGACCGAGTTCAGTGGACTGCCCCTTCTTGCCTTGCTTACCAAGTATTTGTGAGTTTATTACTTTTTTTTTTTATTTAATACATTTGTATTTGTTTATTACACAATGGCTGCAATGCTCTCCTACTTTTGTCTTAAAAGAAATCATAGCAACATAATTTGTCTCTCATTTCTTCCTCCCCATAAATATAGTAATGCTTTTGGGCCAAACTATAGTGTCACAGGAAACAATATAAAATACAAAAGATGTGTAAGTGGAGAGTGAATTTTGGCATTATACAATACTGCTTTACAGTAAATAAAATCATATATTAAGAACAAATATGGTGTGTTGTTCTGTTCAATGGATACAGGTTGTTACTCTTCATAAATAGATTATGGCTCTATTTAAAATTACATACAGTATAATCACAAGAAAAAGTCCTGTCTCAATATTTTACCTGACACAGAAGTACTGTTGGCTTTCTAAATTCAGACCGACAGATTGCACAGATGTCATCAACTTCTGAACATTGCCTTTTAGATGCAGCTACTCCATAACTCTGAAATAAAAAAAAAACAAAAAAAAACGCACACATACACATGTGCTTGAGATCAAATAAATGTAACCATACATTCATTATTATTTACTTTTGCATGAGGTCTGACTCAAAATCATGAATTGGCTTAGCGAACTCAAATGTAAGTAAATCATTGCTCAGCATAAAAATATAGTATAAATAAAAATATGTATATATTAGTAGAGGGTGCTAGTGGTTACACATGTGCAGTCAGGCATAGTGTAAACTGCAATACATGTCAATGGGCTAAATTACACTGCAGCTGTGGCTCATGGGCGCCACAACAGATGTATTTTACACTGTACACGTGTATGCCCTAATGTGAAGTCATGTAAAAAAGCGCTTTAGGAAAGGACATTTACATGTCCCTTGCCAGCTATAAAAGGCTGTTAGAAGTTGCTTGTTTTTAATGCAAAATGATATTTTTAGGCGTATTTAAGATAGCCTCTCTTTTAAGTTGGCCATACAATACTGTATTTTTTTTTATCAGCTTCTGGGCTCTTTATTCTATATACAGCTTGGATGGATGAATCCCTCTGCTAGACTGTATTTTATTCTGACAGCTGGCAGCAATGGCTGTCAGAATTCCCAAAGAGTTGCTGCATCTCACTGGATGCAGCTGTTATTTAGCTGACAATTTTCTGCCTTTGATTTTTGTCAGTTGAAGGATGATGAGCAGGATGGGGCCAACAAGGCCACCCACTAAGCGAATTTCAGCCAGTTCATCGGGAAACGGACTAAATTCAAACAGCATACAGCCAGCTTTACAGTACAGCTCAGGCAGCACATAAATGGCAATCGCTAAAACTAACATGTGAAATTTGTTTTGGCAGTCACAAAATATGTAGCTAATTAAAAAGATTCCTATACTTCTGTCCACTAAATGGGAATGGTGCCTTGATTCTGAACAAGGGCACACATTCCAACATGAGATTTGCATTTGTAAAGAAGAGATAATGGATACCCTGCAGGACTGAACAAGTGCTTGTGGTGCAGCTGTGCTCCAGGATAATAAGGACATCAGTTCCACGTGGCTTAACATAAGCACTGAAGGCAGGCATTCTTCAGCATAGTATGGGAAAAGAAAGGACTAAGGCTAAGTCAACATTTAACACTAAATACTGTATCCTGAAAGCCTGTAGTTTGGATTCTAGCACATATATATTAACATCTTCATACGCAGACATGCTATACTCAAAATATCAAAATTGATCTTTTCCCTAAATATTTGCTTTCTGAAGAGATGTCACCTTCCCGTCCTTTATCTTCTAAAAATTTGTCTATGCTGAACATAAGAATTTTAACAAATATGAATGGAGCATCCAATTTATGAAAGCAAGGGGATTAAATGAGTAATAACAAGGCCTAAATATAAAATCTATATTGCTGATAGGAAGGGAAACAAATATGCCCAACTGCAAACGCAATAATCTAACTGTGTATCTGTCTGACAATAAAACAAAAAAGGGACAGCTTCTGAAAACAGACTGTATAACCCAAGCATCAGGAAATGATTTAAGTTGGCAGAAACTGAAAACTTTGTAGGCCAATGTGCTAAGCACTGGCTTGCAAAATGTACCTAACACAATTCAAATGCCATTCCTCTGAAACACAATACCAAGATGTTATTTGCTCTTTTATATATTTACTGTGCATTTACAGACTTATTCAGATTACTTACAGGCTGAGTAAAAAACAATCGTAAGATATCCGCAGATGTTTTCCATTGTCCAAAAACCACAAAAAGCTGAAAACAGAAAATAAACTTTTATTAAGCGCTGTTTGTCATTTTAAAAACTGACTTCACCATCTTGACTAAGGGAAATCAGCAGTAAAGCCTTGGGGATTTAAAGGCGGTTTCCTGCTTTACTTTGTGCATGGGCATAAGTCCTCTGAAGTGACCCAGAGAGCTGCGAGGGGGGGGGGCGAACTTCCGGCTCAGTTCGCCGCAGCGAACTCAGCTGGAAGTGGAAGCAGGTACCTGTCAAAACCAGGTACCAGCTCCCCCCAAAAGGTGCCAAATGTGGCAGCAGAGGGGGGAATGTGGCAAATAAGTGGACCTTTCACTTTTGGGTGGAACTCCGCTTTAATTTGTCCACTTTCATAAGATACAAACTGTTGGTATTTTTTTTTTAATTTGGTGCAATCAATGCACCACAATCTAGAAGTGGGACATTTTACAACTACCTGAATTTGGTGGTGCACAAGTCGCTGTCCAAATCAAAAGTGTTGCAGATGCTTCATTTTGTGATGCAATACATTAACAAGAGGGATTACTGCCAGAGTAGTGGCACAGCAGCTTTACTGAATTTCCCCCATTGACTTCGAAGAACCAAAATACATAGTAAAAGTAAACAATCATAAATTCAACTTACTTTTATGATGAGGTAGAGCAAAGCCAACAAAACACCAAAATGCCATTCCACTCCACTGGTCTGAGCCCCATAATCAATCAAATAACGGAACCACACTGGCGTTAGCACAAGCATGCAATAATACTGTGCAATCTCTTCTAAGCACATGTACCAATAGCCCTGGAGAAGAAGCGTTGCATCGTTAATCCAAGAGACACTTAAAAACCTTTTTTAAATGCTAAGAAATGTGAAAATTGGCATACAAATTCTTTCATCAATCATCCTTTTTGCATACAAAGTAACAACTGCTGAAGCTCTTCCGGATACAATGCCTTACTCATAGCTGGTTACTAGTTACTACAAACAGGTCTGAAAAACCGTTCTCCCTCCATCTGAGCAGAACAGAACAAAAATCAATAAAAAAAACAGGATGCACCAGGGCTCAGTTTTGAGTGTCATGGCAAAGGCTGTGAATACTTACAGGTGAAACTCGAAAAATTAGAATATCGTGCAAATGTTCATTTATTTCAGTAATGCAACTTAAAAGGTGAAACGAATATATGAGATAGACTCATTACATCCAAAGCAAGATACTTCAAGCCGTGATTTGTCATAATTGTGATGATTATGGCTTACAGCTCATGAAAACCCCAATCCACAATCTCAGAAAATTAGAATATTGTGAAAAGGTGCAATATTCTAGGCTCAAAGTGTCCCACTCTAATCAGGTAATTAAGCCATAACACCTGCAAAGGGTTCCTGAGCCTTTAAATGGTCTCTCAGTCTGGTTCAGTAGGAATCACAATCATGGGAAAGACTGCTGACGTGACAGTTGTGCAGAAATCTATCATCGACACCCTCCATAAGGAAAGAAAGCCTCAAAAGGTAATTGCAAAAGAAGTTGAATGTACCCAAAGTGCTGTATCAAAGCACATTAATAGAAAGTTATGTGGAAGGGAAAAGTGTGGAAGAAAAAGGTGCACAAGCAGCAGGGATGACGCAGCCTGGAGAGGATTGTCAGGAAAAGGACATTCAAAAGTGTTGGGGACTTTCACAAGGAGTGGACTGAGGCTGGAGTCAGTGCATCAAGAGCCATCACACACAGACGGATCCTGAACATGGGCTTCAAATGTCATATTCCTCTTGTCAAGCCGCTCCTGAACAACAAACGTCAGAAGCGTCTTACCTGGGCTAAAGAAAAACAGACCTGGTCTGTTGCTCAGTGGTCCAAAGTCCTCTTTTCTGATGAGAGCAACTTTTGCATCTCATTTGGAAACCAAGGACCCAGAGTATGGAGGAAGAATAGAGAGGCACACACTGCAAGATGCTTGAAGTCCAGTGTGAAGTTTCTACAGTCTTTGTTGATTTGGGGAGCCATGTCATCTGCTGGTGTTGGTCCACTGTGCTTCATTAAGTCCAGGGTCAACGCAGCCGTCTACCAGGACATTTTGGAGCACTTCATGCTTCCTTCCGCAGACGAGCTTTATGGGGATGCTGACTTCATTTTCCAGCAGGACTTGGCACCTGCCCACACTGCCAAAAGCACCAAAACCTGGTTCAATGACCGTGGGATTACTGTGCTTGATTGGCCAGCAAACTCGCCTGACCTGAACCCCATACAGAATCTATAGGGCATTGCCAAGATAAAGATGAGAGAAATGAGACCGAACAATGCAGAAGAGCTGAAGGCCGCTATTGAAGCATCCTGGTCTTCCATAACACCTCGGCAGTGTCACAAGCTGATAGCTTCCATGCCACACCGCATTGAGGCAGTAATTGCTACAAAAGGGGCCCAAACCAAGTACTGAGTACATATGCATGCTTATACTTTTCAGAGGTCCGATATTGTTCTATGTACAATCCTTGTTTTATTGATTGCATGTAATATTCTAATTTTCTGAGATTGTGGATTTGGGGTTTTCATGAGCTGTAAGCAATAATCATCATCACAATTATGACAAATCACGGCTTGAACTATCTTGCTTTGCATGTAATGAATCTATCTCATATATTAGTTTCACCTTTTAAGATGCATTACTGAAATAAATGAACTTTTGCACGATATTCTAATTTTTCGAGTTTCACCTGTATGTACATGTGTTTTTTTATTCTTAATAAATTGCAAAGATTTCAAAACAAACTTCTTTTATGTTGTCATTATGGGGTATTGTTTGTAGAATGTTGAGGAAAAAAAATGAATTTAATCCATTTTGGAATAAGGCTGTAACATAACAAAATGAGGCAAAAGTTAAGCGCTGTGAACACTTTCTGGATGCACTGTATATCATAGTACCTGCAAGTACTAACTGAGGCACAATCCCAACTCCTTGTAAAGAAAAGGTTGGCCTCATTATTAACATACTCTACAAGCGCCCCAAAAAAAATGTGTTTTCATCTGATAAAATGTCAAGTTATGGTACATACTGTGGGGCTTTATAATTTTTTTTTTACTAATGTCAGTGAAGTTCCCCCTTATGCAATCCTATTTTTGTTTGATGAGGGTTAAATGTTCACCCTCACACACCAAACATTATCATTAATATCTTGTTTTAAAATGATGTTTGAAGAGGAAAATTCAGTACAGCAAATAGGCACACACTTGGAATATATGAGATGTTTATATAAAACATAAAAAACAAAATACATAGAGAGCAATTCAATTTCGCAATTCCTGCTTGAGTAACTATAGAGCACTTCATGCTAGATGCGACATGAGGATATATACTGTACATATATGTGGTTGCAGAACAGATAAAGATCCATGCTACCAATGAATACATATTATAATGGAAACAAATGGTATATTATATGGGAGTAAACCACAACATTGCAAATATAAAGTTTAACTTCCTTGCCAACAGTCGGGTGAGCAATATACCAAGGGTAAATTTGTATTACAAGCAGAGATTGCTAGGAGAATATAATAAGGGTAGCTAAAGCAGGAAAAGGGTCATGAGGGTGGAAGAAGCTCACCAAACTTTATGTGGGTTGTTGAAAGGACCTCTTTACAGGTGAGAACCCATTTTTGGATTACTTTTTTTTGGCACAGTTGATACATAGATGACCTTCTTTTGGTTTATGCCTCAATTTTTTAGATCATACTTCCAGGGAGGTAGTGGAAACCCAGTTTTATATCAGCACCGGCTACTGTAAACCCACAGTAGGTAATTTCACACTTAAAGCCACTAGATGCCATCCCATTCATACTATTAGACCTATACCAACAGGAGAGTTTATTACGATCAAATGGAATTGACCTTCAAAGAACAATTTGAACTGGAAAATGCTAAAGTGCATTACCGACTTAAGGAACAAGGGTGTCCAGACTGGATGATATTTGAGAGGAAAGGACGGGCAAAAAGATAGGGGGAAACTCCTGAAAAATCAGAAATTTTGTAATAAAACAAACAATATGCTGTATTTTGTTCCCATTCTGTTTTGTTTGTGAATATTCAAATTTATGGAATTTTTTAAGATGGCTGCAGAATTACTAGCAGGAAGGGACCTACCTTGGGATCTATTTTGTCCCCCTCCTTGTTTAAGGATCCTTGGAAGACCCATTAAAAAAACCTGGTTATATACACAGGGGTCCTCTAGATGTGGAGTACTGTGATGTATATACCAAAACTAAAGTGCTTTTATTGTTGTCTGGCAATACTTTTGTCACATGTCACAAGCGACAAGCAGCACAGCAGGGACACCATTCAATTGATTTTTGACAGGATGCTCGGGGGGGGGGGGGGGGGGTTTGGAGGGGGTTTAACCCCCCGACTCCCCCCCCCCTTTATCTATGTCCCTGGCCTCAGAACACACTGATCAATTGGGAAAAACCCAACAAACTGGTTGTACGAAAGTTGATCGCTAGTTAGACTTCTGTACAACTGGCCTGACGAAACATGGATTAAAATTTGGCCAGTTTGGCAGGGACAGCCAAATTTAAATCCATGTATGGTTGCTCTTAGATGCCACTATCTCCACTCAGTGAGCAGAAAGAGTGTGTTCTTGCTCACTGAGCTGCTATTAGGTCTGTTTACAAAGCACAGCTATATGTAATCCTGGCATACCAGATTCAAATTTGTCACATGCTAGACAGCTACAGGACAAATTAGAAAAATGTACCGTATATTCAATATTTGATATTACTAGGCCAATCAGAAAATTAAAACCTTTTCAAAAATTGTGATTTATTTCTAAACCAAGTCTAAATAAAGAAGAAGATTTTTATTTTAATTATATCATTTCTATTGTCCTTAAAATGCTTTGCACTTTTGAGCTGCATATCATACTGGTCAGTATTATCAAGCCATAATAATTTAGGTATATAGCAAAATACTTTTAAAATCAATTGCATAATAATTGCTACACACCCCAGCTCTGAAGAAGGGAATCTACCTCCTGAAACACATCAGCTACTTCAACTGGGAAGTTCAGGGATAGGACCCCATTGTTTGAGACTGAAACATTTTACTATATGCCTGTTTATATGGTTTGCTTGCAAGTATCCATTTGTCATCTATTTTTAATAAATTGTTGTTTTTATGGTAATGCACAAGGAGAGTGCACCCCCTTGTGTGTTCTTTTGGCAGTTTTAAGATTCCCCAATGTATGGAGGGCTGCACCTGAACAAGTGGCATATACCGTGGGATATTGTGGAGCACCAAGAATCGAGCGCTGTTGTGTTTGTCATCACTTAAGTGCTACACATGCTTAACAACACCTTACCTTACATTTATGTGACATTATAAAAGAAGGCACCAGCAGAATCAAACACTTGAGGCCCATAAAGATAAACTTCACAACAAAGTCTGTGATACCAACAACCCACAATACATCCCAGAATTGTAAAGGTCCAATAGCAGGGTTCATAAATATCAAGCTGCAAAAAAAAAATAAAAATAAAATTTGTGTTAATAAATTAACAAAAAAAACCTAAATAAAAAGGTGAACCAGTAAAAGAGTAAGAAGAGCATGGCCTCGCAACATGACTGTAGAAATTACATTAGGCAGGCAACAAACAAAACTGGCAACCAAATGATACCTTTAGGAATAAGACGGCAGGTTCAGAGACCCAACTGCTATATTATTTGTTTGAAAAACATTAGGTTCCTAAATAAGCATGCTCATATCAGCTATATCATCTTTAATATCTGGGTACCTTAACTACTTGAGTCCCAGCACCTAAAAGGATAAGTTCACTTTTTATAAAATAAATAAATGCAAATTTTTTTGCTGGTAAAAAAAAAATGTGCATTTACTAATTTTTTTTTTATTTAAACAAATGTGCATTTATGGTATTTTTTGTTTTGGGAGCCTGGGAAGGATTGCGCCAGCAATCAGCAGATCGCTGCAAGCACTCAAGACTGCAAACTATCAGTGTAAGCGGTCTTCCTGTACATCAGGGGCTGGTGCTACAGTAACATGTTACACTCTGAATATGGGTGTAACATGTTACGATAGGTGAACTTATCCTTTAAAGCTATATAAACCTTCTTGAGTCCCAGAATTTTTGCATGTTTTGGACAGATTGAATGTTTAAAAAATGCTTTCTTTTGCAGCCAGCTTATCCAAGCTTATCTTGTTTGGGGACAGATAGTACTTTCTATTATACACTGCTTAATAGTATAAATGTGAAAATTATGAAAAAAAAACCCGTATCTATTTCGACAACATAAAAATGTAAAAGACTGGGCACAGGTTTTTTTTTTTTTTTTTTTTTAAAGTTTGCCTGGAATAATTATAATACATGATCTGTATAGCGCCAACAGTTTCCGCAGCACTTTACAAAATGAAGGTAAACATTACAGTTACAATACAATTTGGTACAAGAGGAAACAGAGGGCCCTGCTCGGAATCAAACAATATCAAATAAACCTGTTTTTTTTTTAAGTTTTGGAGAAAATATGGGGTGCAGAAACAATGGTGTATACCTTCAATTTTATTTACAAAACTTCTTCCTCATACAATGAAATGACAAAAAAAAAAAAAAAGGGGTCTGTAGGGGTCCGTCAAGGTTCCGTCCTTGGACCCCTACTCTTCTCAATCTACACCTCCTCCCTTGGTCACTTGATAAACTCCCATGGCTTTAAGTACCAACTCTATGCTGATGACACACAAATCTATCTTTCTACCCTTCACCTCACCCCTTCAGTCTCCTCTCGCATTACTAACCTACTAAGTGACATATCGGCATGGATGTCACTCCACTTCCTCAAACTCAATCTTTCCAAAACTGAGCTCATACTATTCCCTCCAGCCTGTGCCCCCTCCCCTGACTTCTCCATCAAGATCAAAAACACAATCATCATTCCCTCCCCTCATGCCAGGGTACTAGGTGTAATCCTGGACTCCCATCTGTCCTTTCAGCCCCAAATCCAATCGCTGTCCAAAACTTGTAGACTTCACCTCCGCAACATCTCCAAGACATGCCCATTCTTAACCTCGGAAACTACTAAGCAACTTATTCACTCCCTTGTTATCTCTCGCCTTGACTATTGTAACTCCCTCCTCATTGGCCTACCTCATCACAGGCTATCCCCTTTTCAGTCTATCATGAATGCTGCTGCCAGACTTATCCACCTTACTAACCGTTCTGTATCTGCCACCCCTCTCTGCCAATCCCTCCACTGGCTTCCCGTTGCCCAACGGATAAAATTCAAAACAACATATAAAGCCATTTATAACTCTGCCCAAATTACATGACCAATCTTGTCTCCAAATATCACCCAAATCGTACTCTCCACTCCTTGCATGACCTCCTGCTCCTTTGTCTCCTCCTCCCATGCTCATCTCCAGAGCTTCCCCCATCCTCTGGAACTCTCTACCCCAATTTATCAGACTATTGTCTACTCTGCTCACTTTTAGGCGATCTTTGAAAACCTCTCTCTTTAGGGAAGCCTATCCTGCCCTCAGCTAACAATGGAATCTTCTACTCTTCCTACCAGTCCATCCCCCACAGTTACTACCTTTTGTACCACTAGCCCCTCCTTCCTAGATTTTAAGCTCCAAGGAGCAGGGCCCTCCTATCCCTCTTGTATTGAACTGTATTGTTCAACTGTATTGTAAAGCGCTGAGCAAACTGTTGGCGCTATATAAATCCTGTATAATAATAATAAGTGTGGCACTCTCATCCTTTTAACACTTTAATAATTTGGTGAGAACATGGCAGTGCACAGAAACAAGGGAGTGCCTTCAAGGCTCTCAATGGATGAAAATTGCCATGCCAATTTTTGGCACTAAACTATATTTACCCTGGCAGGACCCTGTTTCGGCAAGGTCTCATTTCCCTGCATTATATCTTTTAGGTTTTGTGTTCTACCCCACCGTATTATTCACTGCTTTTTTCGCAACAGATTGGGCTTTAAAGTTGTATTAAAAACTAAAACAAAAAAATCTAATACAAGCCCACTCCCAAAAAAAAACGTTGGACACAGTGTAAATCTACACAAAAAAAGAATGCAAAGATTTTCAAATCATGCATAAACCCATCATAAACCCATATTTTATTCACAATAGAAAAAATAATCAAATGTGAAAATGTACCATTTTAAGAAAAAATGAAGGTAATTTTTAAATTGATGGCAGCAACACATCTGAAAAAAGTTGGGACAGGGCAAAAAAAAAAAGCTGGCAAAGTAAGCTGTGCTAACAAGGAAAAACTGGAAGAACATTTGCAAATAATCAGGTTAATTGGCAACAAGTCAGAAACATAACTGGGTATAAAAATAGCATCTTAGAGTCAGAGTGTCTCAGAAGTAAACATGGGCATAGGTTCACCTATCTGTGAAAAGCTGTGTCTAAAAAAGGTTCAAACAATTTCAAAATAAAGTTCCTCTATGTAAAATTGCAGATACTTTAAATAAATGATCATCTACAGTACATAATATCAAAAGATTCAGAGAATCTGGAGAAATCTCTGTGTGCGAGGGACAAAGCTGGAAACGCAATATTGGATGCCAGTGATCTTCTGTCTGTCATTCCATTGGCTCAGGAATTCTGACAGAAATCAAAGTCTGTGAACACAGTTTGCCATGCCATCCAATACTGCATGGTAAAGCTCTACCATACAAAGAAGAAGCTATATCTGAACATGATCCAGAAACGCTGATATCTTCTCTGAGCCAAAGCTCATTTAAAATGGTCTGTTGCAAAGTATAAAATTGTTCTGTAGTCAGATGAATCAAAATTTGGTATTCTTTTTGGCAAGCATGGACGCCACGTGCTCTGGACTAAAGAGGAGAGGGACCGTCTGGCTTGTTAGCAGCTCTCAGTTCAAAAGTCTGCATCGCTGACGGTATGGTATGGGGATGCATTAGTGCATATGGAATAGGCAGCTTGCATATCTGGAAAGGCACCATCAATGCTGAAAGATATCCTGTTTTTAGAGAGTAATTTCCTCCCATCTGGATAACGTCTTTAGGGAAGGACTTTCATATTTCAGCAGGACAATGCTAAACCTCCTACTGCATCTATAACAGCATGGCTTTGTAGTAGAAGAGTCTGGGTGCTTAGCTGGCATACATGCAGTCCAGACCTTTCACCAACTGAAAACATTTGGCACATCTTGAAATGAGAAATACAACAAAGAAGACCCAGGACTGTTGAGCAGTTAGAACCCCATATCAGGCAAGAATGAGACAATATTCCTTTTCCAAAACTCCAGCAACTGGTCTGCTCAGTTCCCAGATGTATACAGAGTGTTGTTAAAAGAAGAGGGGATGCAATACAGTGGGAACCATCAATTTTAAAATTGTCTTATTTTATTCTTAAAATGGTACATTTTCTCAATTTAAAATATTTTATATTTTTTTTGTATTTTAAAAATTGAAAGCGTTCAAAAACACTGATTGTGGCGTTTTGCATGCTTTTAAAACACCCCCCCCACCCCCCCCCCCCCCCCCCCCCCCCCCCCCCCCCCCCCCCCCCCCCCCCCCCCCCCCCCCCCCCCCCCCCCCCCCCCCCCCCCCCCCCCCCCCCCCCCCCCCCCCCCCCCCCCCCCCCCCCCCCCCCCCCCCCCCCCCCCCCCCCCCCCCCCCCCCCCCCCCCCCCCCCCCCCCCCCCCCCCCCCCCCCCCCCCCCCCCCCCCCCCCCCCCCCCCCCCCCCCCCCCCCCACCCCCACCCCCCCCCCCCCCCCCCCCCACAAAAACAAACACACACACCCCCCCCCCCCCCCCCCCCCCTGTGCAGAGGAATTTATGCATAAATATACAATATGTAAAAATATTGGGTTACGTATTGTGTTTTTTTGCATTAAAAAAAAAGTGTAGTTTTTCCACAAAAGATGTGTTTGAAAATACTGTGTGACATAAAAAAATTGAAGGCCTCTGCTTTAAAAAGAACACACACACACACACACACACACACACACACACACACACACACACAAAGTGTCAGAAAAAAGGCCTGGTCAACTGGTTACTCCCCAAAACATTTTCAGCTATGTCTCCCAAGTATGGAGATACCGCATGTGTGAGACTTTTTCACAGCATATAGGGGTCATAATCCAGACAGCATCTTTGGGCTTCTAATTTCTTGACTACCTATCATATTTCTTGAAATACGTAAAATAGTGCTCATGCGCTTCTGGATGTGCAATACTTAGCAAACAAAACAATGGATTAAACTATTGCAGCAGTCCTAAACTTGTGCAATGTGCCACAATACATAAATAATAACATTTAAACGGACTGCGCATCAGTATTAAACATATAATCATGTGCATATATTTCAAACAGTAACATACAGTATAAGTTTCCATTAATAAAGTTTCAAATGGTGAAACAAATGCATGTGCTTGTGCTCCAGCCTAATTGAAGTGCTTAGTTTCTTCAGTCAAATCAAAGTGCTCCACTGTGCTCAACAAAAAGTGCCCCACATGGACTAGAACTCACCCTTAGCCAATGACCATCTATTTCTAGAATGGTCTATAATGCTTGTGCGGCATTCCCCAATGGAACAGTTGTCTCCAGATCTCCGCAAGTTTAGGATGGGCATATCACCAAAAAAGCAAAGAAAGAGGATATCCCATACTGTAAAACCGTTAGATATTTTATTGAGGGCTAAATGTAGAAAAAATATCACTCACAAATATTTTAATTTTTATTTCTTATTTATTCAGTGAGATTTTTATATATTTTTTTTTTAAGTGTAATGTGTTGGTGTTTTTCACATTGTATGTGGGTTTTCTAGTACTGAGAATATAGATATATTAGGTAGTTGTTTCTAGCCGTTCCCCCTTTAACCACTTCCAGACCGGACACTTTTACCCCCTTCCTGACCAGGGCAATTTTCAGCTTTTAGCGCTATCACACTTTGAATGACAATTGCGCGGTCATGCAACACTGTACCCAAATTAATTTTTTACCATTTTTTTTGAGATAGATAAAGCTTTATTTTGGTGGTATTTACTCACCACTGGGATTTGTATTTTTTTTTGCTATGTAAATGAAATGTCCAAAAATTTTGAAAAAAAGTGTTTTTTTTTATAAAATTTTGCAAATAAATAATATTTCATCATAAATCTTAGCCAAAATTTATTCCGTTATCTTTTTAGTAAAAAAAAAAAAATCCAAATTAGTTTATAAGCAAAAATTATAATTTTTAAACATTTTTTTTTACATTTTTATATTATTATTTTTTATTTTTATTTTTTTTTTACATACTGTCACCCTAGCAGTACAGTGTCACCATGGTGACACTGTACTACTTGTGAGGGGTGATGAAGATTTTTTTTTTTTTTTTACACTGATTGCTTTTACACCCATATAGGATGTAAAAGCAATCATTTCTCTTTCTCTCTGTGCATTCTTGCACTCATTGAGAAGAACTGAGTGAGCTGTGATTGGTCACAGCTTGTCACATGGTACAAGGCTTTTGTGAATAGCCTTGTACCATGTGACCTCTGTGATCATTCACAGATTTCACACGTAGTAAGCAATGATGTCAGAAGTGACATCTTGCTTACTACTTTGCATGTGATCACTGATTGGCCAATCAGTGATCACATGATCGGGACCTCGTACAGAGGTCCCGTCCGACGATCGGTGTTTCACTGTGTCCGGAGGACACAGCGGGCACCGGATCGCGGTGCTGCGCGCTCCCAGGGAGCGCTCACAAGCAGGGTGCGGGGAGGCCGTTTATAGACAGCCACCCGACCCTGCAGTGCCACCGTCCGGCCGTTTATATACAACGGCCGGTCGGGAAGTGGTTAAGGGGGCAGACTTTGTTGGATAGATGGAAGGTTTTTATCAGTATATTTTTAACGCTGATTAGAATAAACAAATGGTTATGCCATGGTAATGGTACTTAAATTACCTTTGTATGAAGACCATTAATATGTAACACCGAATGTACTCAGCAGTATTAAATAAATGAACATTCAGCCGATGGGTATAAATACCATTAGCAATATGGTGGATTTTGCACTTCCTGAAGACGATCTTTGATCGAAGCGCGTCGAGATTTGATGACGCAACTTCCGCTGACGTCACATCCGGCCTATGGAATGCACGCCGCTCTGAGGAGTATACTTAGTATAGTGGCTTCCACACATCAGGATCAATAAGGCTGAGTACACCAGGTGCTGGGCATAGGCAGTTTATTTGTAAGTGATATTTTTTTTACATTTAGCCCTCAATAAAATATCTTACGGTTTTACACTGTGGGATAACCTCTTTTTTTGGTGATATGCCTATCCTAAACTTGCGGAGATCTGGAGACAACTGGGATGCCCCTCAAGCATTATAGGCTGGAGCACAAGCACATGCACCTGTTTCACCATTTGGGACTTTATTAATGGAAACCTATGCTGTATGTTGTTTGAAATAAATGCACGATTATATGTTTAATACTGATGCACGGTCCATTTAAATTTTATTTATCATATTTTTCTTAAGTCCCTAAAGTGCCAGGACAGCGGAAACACCCACAAAACGACAACAACATTTTCTGACAGGCATAGCGAGTCTTGCCACAAGTTTTGGAAAATGCAAATAAATATGAAAATGTATTTATTTTTTTACAAAAAGTTGTCAATTAATAAGAATTTCTAAAACACAGTATGGTCATGCTTAGAATTACACCCCAAAAAAACATTCTACAACTCCTCCCGAGTATGGTGATACCACATGTGAGACTTTTTCACAGCCTAGCCACATAGAGGAGCTCAAAATCCATGAAGCACCTTCAGACAGACATTCTAGGGGCATGAATTACACATCTCATTTCCTGACAACCTATCACATTTTTGGAGGCCTTGGAACACCAAGACAGTGGAAACACCCACAAAATGACCTCATTTTGGAAAGTAAACACCCCAAATTATCTTCAAAGAGTCATGGTGAGTCTTCTGAAGACTTCTTTTTTGCCACAGGTTTTTGGAAAATGCATATTTTTTTTTTTTTTTTTATACAAATGTTTCAGTTTAATAAGATATTTTTCACAAACAGCATTGGCATACTTAGAATTTCACCCCAACACATTTTGCTACTCATCCAGAGTATGGCAATACCACGTGTGAGACTTTTTCAGTGTCTAGACTGATTATGTACCGGATAATGTATCTTGCATATCACACAAATCAACCAATTGTATCAAAAAGTGTGTACTGAATTGGTCACTTCTGTATAATTGGACAGGGAATATAGCTTAGTGTAGGATCACCTGTAGCAGTCCTTGTTCCTACATGCCATGCAACCCTATCCTACTGGTACGTGGCTGCCCATAGGAATGCCATGTTTACTGGCCAGAAAGTACAGAAGGCTGAAGAAAGGAAGAGCAAAGGGGCTGCGGTGGTTCCAGTAGTGCAGTTATCCACAGAGGATGGTTGCGGCTGGTGTCTCACAGGAACGTAGTCAGTGGGACTGATGGGTAATTTTAGGTGGCAGGCAGACATGGTCAGCAATTAGGGACACTGCTGCTGGCATACACTGGTCTAGTGACATTGTGACGGTGATAAGGAACACTATTGCTGGCATACACTGATTGAGTGTTTCTGGGCCTGCTGTGGCGGTGATCAGGAAAAGTGTTGTTGGCTGCACTGGTCTTATGTGGTGGTAATCAGGAACACTGTTTCTAGCTACACTGGTGTGACAACTCTGACTGGTGTGATGGTAATCACAGACACGGTAACTGTTTACACTATTAAAGGCTTGTTCACATGTGTAGTGGTTGAGCAGTGGTTCTACCTCCACCCAACCGCTACCCCCTTTAGCTAAAGGCAGCGGCTGGGGGTGTACACATACCACGACTGCAAGGCTTTGCTTCTCAGCCATGACAGGAATTACACACCCCTGTACACACGCCGAATGTGACTTATTCAAGTAAATGGCAGAGCTTGTGTGGGGTCCAAGGGGTTAAACCAGGCAGTGAGGAGTGATACAATGCCTCCTCATTGCCTGTTAAATGTTTTCTGAAGAGCGATCCAAACATGAATTGCTCTTCAGAGAGCACTGGGACTGGTGTGGCGATTAGGGACAGTGTGGCTGGTCCAGTGGTGATTTGGGACACTATGATTGGCTGTACAGACATTTAGTGACATTGTATTGCTGTAGTTATGATCAGAGACAATGGCTGGTGGCACTGACATACAATTATATCACAGCAGCCAGCCACTGTACATGATCACCGTCACAGCAGTACAATATCACCATAGTGATACTGCATTTGCTCAGATGACAGTCCAAGTTTGTTTACATCCTTTAACCAGGATGGTGCAGTGTCATATTGGTGACACTGTACTGTTGTGGCTATTGATCAGCTGATGAGACACTGACTGCTACAATGGCATACAGTGTTATTATTGCAACAGTAAGTGTCTGATTACCAGACAGAACAGTACAATCTCACCATAATGACACTATACTGCTAAGGGTGGGGGTTAATTGTTTTGTTTTTTTTTCAGATCTCTATAATTGCTTACTACAGTTCCATCTCCCAGGAGACTGAAGTGTCAGCTTCATCTACTAGGAGTGACTTAAGCAAATAGCAGAGAGAGGAGCGACAGGAGAAGAACTAGACTTGGTGCTTTTAATTCAGACTAGTACACACTATATGGGGTGTACTTTGTTCATTTTCCATGTCTGAGGTGTACAACCACTTTAAATCATGCTATTTTCTATATAGAATGCAAAAATAAAAAGGCATCCTCTGCTGTAATCTTATGCATTCTCCCTTTCAATTATCAAATACAAGTGGTATTTATAAGATCAAATATAAAATAATAAACCAGGAACATCCTGTGCTGACATACCTGTAATAAAGTGCCTGAGAATAAAATGTGTAATATAAAAAGGAATGATGAGCCAGATAAGAAAAACAACAGCCAAATGCACTGAATTTTGGAACACTTATCCTGGAAAATTAAACAGAGAAAAAAAAATTAAAATTGTAGAGGCAGAGTTAAAATAAACTGATAAAGGCAATCATCAGAAAATCCTGTGTTAGTTTACAAACTCAGTTTAGGATCTTTATTTGAACAGTAATGCCCAATGGCTTATGTAATAATTTAAAGCTGAAGTTTAGTTCTTTTTTTGTTTTTTGATTTTTTGGCTATGCAGCACCAGAGACCTAACTTACCTGTAATTATTATTCTACAAAATTTGTATAGCGGCAACAGTTTGCGTAGTAATGAAATTTGTTCCATGTCTGGCTGGCTGCTGCATAGTATAGAAATCTTCTCCCCACTGCGTTAATCCTCCAGTGTTGCTAGGGTTAACATCAGTCGCTGTGAGTGTGAAAGAGTTGCTCCCCTCACCCACATCCTCCATTCATAGAACTCAGTCCCATCATTCATCTGTCTATCCTCTATTGAGAAAACAGTTTGCATTCTGGAAAAAAATAGCGGGAGCCCAATGAACAGAGGAGGTGGGCAGAAGAGGCAGTCGAGCACTCAACTCTTTCACATTTGCAGCGACTGATGTCAATCTCCGCAGCACTGAGGATCAGCACTGTGGGAAGATTTCTACATTATGCAGCATGTCAGACATGGGACAGATTTCATTACAGTTAAGTAATGGCCCTGGTTCTGTATGGTAAAAAAACAAAACAAAACTAGAATTAGACTATTTCTAGTCATCTTGCAGGACAGCCCATGAGACAGAGTTCCTCCCAGGGGACAGGAAACATGTTGACCACAAAAGTTAAAAAGGTGGTCATCCAAGTCCTCACCTCAGAATACACAGGAAAAGAACACAGGACAAAAAATACATAATACAATAGGAAGATAATCCAGCTGTCCCGGAAAGAGTTACTGGCAAGTCTAATTTAGTTTTTTCCAGTTGTCTTCGAGGACAGTTCATGATACTATAAGAAGGAACTTCCAAGCCTGGGGGGGTCCAAACAGTAAGGCTTCACGAAGGTGGACAATCTGGACCAACCTGCGACTCTACAAATCTGTTCAAAGGCTCAAAAAGTATCTACTTGTGGATGCTGAATTGGACTCTGAGATACCAGGTCATCCCTCAGTAGAAGGAACACTGGTGGAGCATTGGTTAGGGAATGAAGAAGAGAAAACAGTGTCCTTTTTGGGTCAAAAGGATAAGATACGTGTGCTCCTTGAGAAACATCTCAAGTAATGACAGAATAAGCCTGAACAAGGGAAAGGCACAGCAAAGACTGAAAGTCCAGGGACTGGGTACAGCATCTATCGCTAGACCCGCATCCATTGGATTTGGAGGGGACAAAAAAAAAAACAAACAAAAAAAAAAAAACAAACAAAACACCTTTTTCCTGTTTGGCCCCGAACATTTACCAAAAAGGAGAAAACTTACAGACTGAGGGACCATTTGTCTTGGAACATCTGATGATGAAGACAGAAGAAATCCGCTAGCGTGTTCTGCGTTCCTTTTAGGTGTTTTACTTAAATAGAATGTCTTGTGTTACCCCCTGTAGAGTCGGACAAGTACCCCCTTGCTTGTTGATATAAGCAAGCATGACAATGCTGTCTGGAAAAATATGGAGAGGATTACTTCTCATCCTCTTGAAAAACTTTCAGAGCTCAATGTACCTCTATCGGTTCTCTCCAATTCTAAGAGCCACTGGCCTTGCTTTTGGACCACTGACCTTGATTGATTTGTTTTTCAAATGACCCCACCAGCCCCAGGAGCTCATATCCGTCATCAATGCACACCCTCTGATTAATTTAACTGATTAATTTGATACATTAAGACATAAGGCCCCGGCCTTATTAGGATCCTTGGGAAACTTGGTCACCAACAAAACTTGAGGGTGGTTAGAGTACAACTATCCCGTTTTGATCAGGTAGGGAATAAATCCATTCGAGGCAATTCGTTTCCATTGTGGGAACTAATTGCCTCGGAGTGACTCTCTTCTCCCCCCACTGGGTAAAGAGAGTCATTGAGGCTTGGTGGGTTAAACAAGCCTTTACGGCTTGTCCAAGTTTTCTTAGGGCTGGATTATTTTTCTTCCTGGCTTTGAAACTTCTAGTCACATATTAGCTGGCTTTTTCTTTTTCTCAGGAAAGGATTTCTATCAGCGGGTACGTTCAAGCACCACCTGAAGCTCAGGACCATAAAACTGATTTTCCAAGAATGGAAAGTCACACAAGCATAATTTGGAAGCCAAATCCCCAGATGAAGTCTTCAGCCAGAGGGCCGCCTGACTGAACTGATTAAGGTGGAAGATCTGGCTACCATTTTGACGGATTCCACCAAAGCGTCTGAGAAAAAGCCTACAGCTTAAGATAGCGTAGGAAAGAAGTCCATTAGCTGCTCTCTAGGAGTACCAGCTACTAAGCAATTACAAGTGTGTAAGCCAGAATTCTAGGTTCCTTGCCACACAAGTAAAGGCTAAGTAAGCCTGCTACGACAGGCTTGAGATTAGAGATGGGGGAATTCAAGGCTCTACACATCACCTCTCTTATCCATTGGATCTTTAATGACCCCCCATATCCTCAAAAGCTAAATATGCTTTCTGAAAAACCTTGGAAAGGGGTGCATCCAAGTTAGGACATTTGTTTTTAGGACGTGCAAAATCCCAAATGGAAACCTTCATTTTAAACTAATAGAGAAATAGGGTTTCTTCTCTGGTTCTGACCACCCCAGCTGGACAGTGTCCAAATATGTTTTATGCCCAGGAAAAACTTTGCACCTCTTTTTGTGCAGGCCCTGATACATTAGTACATACCTAGAAAGTTGTACTATTTGTTCTTTGATGTCCAAAGTTCCATAAATAGTTTTGAGGAGCTCATCAACATCCTCAAGGGACAACTTGTATCTAGATCAGAAGGCTCATCTTCATCCCTGAAAACAGCATCAGTGCCTGATTCTGCCAGAGAGGATGATAAGGCCCTGGATGCATCTTCAGCCACCTCACCATGCAAAACATCCCCAAATGCTTTTGAAATTACATCTGAAGAGGACCTAGGAACTTCTGGAGGCTGACAAGGAGAAACTGACTGGGTCTTCAAGTCTGTCAGAAGGGTTCTAAAGGTGTGAAAAGTAGAAACCAACTCTTCCTTGACTGATGATAGTATCTAATTACAGGCAACAGCTGACATATCCTTAACTAGGCTGTAAATACAAGACCAGCATAACGGCTTACTCCAAGAAGCTCCTAACAAATTCCTAGGCTGCACAGATTGCACATTTCTTCTTGGGAGCAAGAACTGGATCTTTATTTTGGGCATTAGCCTGAAACACATAAAAGTAAACACTAGCAACTTAGCCCAGGAGCTCCCTGGCCACCAAGTGCTAAATGCCAAAAATAAAAAGGTAGACCATCAACCTGAGCCCAACACCAATGAGCACCAGGTGACCGAAAGCTAAGTGATAGTAAAACACAGAATTTCCTAGCAGGTAGAAACCCCAAGCATTCCTGTGAGGAGCTGGAGTCAGAGAAGCCCATGTCTGCAGAAAGCAGAGAGGGAAGTGCAGAGGGATCCAAAATATCCTATGCACAACACATCCCAGTCTCTGCTGGAAATCTATTGTCACAGACCACCTGCTGCTCTAATATCCACCTGCCTGCGCCATTCTTGAAGCATGGAACTGCCGCCTCCGGCACCCTGCAAAGACATCAGCCAGCCCGCAGGTACTGGCCTTCCCCAGACACTAAAAGCACAGGATCCACTGCCACCACCTACCCGTATAGAGGAGGTTTAGTGGATGAACACAGGAAAAGAGGTACAGACATTGACAGCACAGAGACCAGGGTTTCCACCACTGGTGAGGTAAGGACCTGTAGAATGACCTTGTAACTCTTGTTGGTAACGTGTGTCATGTCCTGGTTGGAGGAGCTCTACATCTCATGGCCTGTCCTGGAAGACGGGGGAAATAAATAAATAAAACAACTAAACTTTAACTTATTTAATCTACTAAACTTTAAGTTGAACTGAAATCCTAGAACACAAAAAACAAAGTCATGATTAACATTACCAAATACTGGCTCTTGGTCGTGGATGGATTAGTTGGGAGATTCTTAGGAGGTAGAAAATAGGGAACCACAGTCAGGAACATGAAGAATTCCTAACAGCAATGTCAAAATTATAAGCCAAAAGCTAAGAATTAGGCCTCATGCACACAGGGCATATGCTTTTCTCCTCTGAACATCAGAAGTTCTGGCAGGAAAAGCTGCTTAAAAAAACATGCCTAAAGCTGCATATTGCATACGCATTTAGGCGCATCAAACATTAATGGATTCCTTTGGCCAGAATATTAATCTAGTCTGGCCACTGAAATGCATGACACCCAAATGTTCCAAAACAAATCTAGAGTTCATGAATGTGTTGGCACATTCAGGGTTTTTTCTGCTCGTCAGTACTTCTCCTGAACATATTTTTGATAAGGTTTTTAAGCCTGTAAAGAGGTGGGTTTTTTTTTTTAAGCTTGTAAAAATTCCTCCTGTAATGCACTTTTAAACGTGTGTATGGACATATAGGCTAACAGAGAAATGTTTTAAGCCCAGTGTGCATGAGGCCTTAAAGTGGGAAAATAAAATGACAAAACCAAGAATTAAGTCAAGACAACAGCACAGACACATGGGAAAAAAGGGAAATATCTGATGCCCAGTCACAAATCCAGAAAAATGTTCACAGCTTAAAAATGAAGTACCAAGGGCAGATATCAACAGGCTAAATAGCACAACAGAGAACGGATGTTAGGAGGTGCTGAACTATTGGCATGACTGAGGCTGTTTTACCTTGAAATCACCTAAATAGTTAAGAAGAATGTTAGTCCATTTGTAAACAAGACAAAGTACATTTGCAGCCACAAGGATTAAATAAAAATCACTGGATAAAAAAGGGAGACAAGAGATTGGTTTCCTATGTTGCTTCTTATGTCTGCAACTGAACATTTTTGGATATTGTTAGTAGACCAGTTTCAGCCAGTTAACACTAGGCTCAAAGCATACAGAAACAAACTGTTCAAGTGAAATAGGTATGGAATTCCATTTTTTAGTAAACCATCACATATTTTTTCAACAAAATACTAAACACAAAAATCACTGCATTGCTGCGAATATGGGCCATATATTATACCGATTAATACGATTCATACAACTGTTCAATTTATTTCTGTGAACTACTGTATTTTTCGCTCCATAAGACACGCCTAGGTTTTATAGCAGAAAAACAAGAAAAAAAAATATTCTGAACCAATGGACTGCGGACACAGTACGGGAGATGACCAGAGACTGCGGACACAGTACGGGAGATGACCAGAGACTGCGGACACAGTACGGGAGATGACCAGAGACTGCGGACACAGTACGGGAGATGACCAGAGACTGCGGACACAGTACGGGAGATGGCCAGAGACTGCGGACACAGTACGGGAGATGGCCAGAGACTGCGGACACAGTACGGGAGATGGCCAGAGACTGCGGACACAGTACGGGAGATGGCCAGAGACTGCGGACACAGTACGGGAGATGGCCAGAGACTGCGGACACAGTACGGGAGATGGCCAGAGACTGCGGACACAGTACGGGAGATGGCCAGAGACTGCGGACACAGTACGGGAGATGGCCAGAGACTGCGGACACAGTACGGGAGATGGCCAGAGACTGCGGACACAGTACGGGAGATGGCCAGAGACTGCGGACACAGTACTGGAGACGACCAGAGACTGTGGACACAGTACAGGAGACGACCAGAGACTGCGGACACAGTACAGGATATGACTATAGACTGCAGACACCGTACAGGAGATGGACCAGAGACTGAGGTCATACTATAGGAGATGACCAGAGACAGCAGACATAGTACAGGAGATGACCAGTGACTGCGGACAGTACAGATGACCAGAGACTGCGGACAATACAGATGACCAGAGACTGCAGACAGTACAGGGGATGACCAGAGACTGCAGAAAGTAAAGGGGATGACCAGAGACTGCAGACAGTACAGGGGATGACCAGACACTGCGGACCTTTAGGGAGGAAGGGGGAGCGGGTACCTGAATTTGACAGGTACCCGCTTCCACTTCTGCGGAGTTCTCCTTCCTATACTGTGGGCACCCGACTTTGACAGCCGGGTGCCCACTGCGCATGCACGAGAAGCGCTGCGCTTTGTGAATGGCCCGGCATCTTTTGGGACCTGTAATGTGTCCCAGAAGACACCGGACCATTCACAAAGCGCAGCGCTTCTCGCGCATGCGCAGTGGGCACCCGGCTGTCACAGATGCCGGGGCGGGAAGAAGCTGGCACGGGAAGACTACAGCGCTGGACCAAGGAACAAGTGAATTCCTGGCGCAGAGAACAGCTGAGCGGCCGGCCCGGTATTCCGACATGGTGGCAGCAAAAATACCGGACAGGCCACTTTATATTCGCTCCATAAGACGCACTGACAATTTTCCCCCTTTTTTGGGGGGACAAAAGTGCATCTTATGGAGCGAAAAATACGATATATACAGAGGGTAAAATAAGTATTGAATACATCACCATTTTTCTCACCATATATTTCTAAAGGTGCTATTGACATGAAATTTTTACCATATGTTCACCAACCTATGCAATTCATACATACAAAGAAACCAAAACAAAGAAGTTCAGAAATTAAGTTATGTCTCATAAAATGGAATGACACAGGGAAAAAGTATTGAACGCATGAAGAAAGGGAGGTGCAAAAAGGCACAGAAAGCCAAGACACCAGCTGAAATCTATCAGTAAATAGAAAGCAATCCAGCTCCTTGTCAGTGCAAATTAATATCAGCTGATTCAGTCTCAATTGATGGCCTTTAAAAAGGTGTATTACCAAGGTGTCACACAAGAAATATCACGATGGGTAAAAGCAAAGAGCTCTCTCAAGACCTCCGCAACCTCACTGTTGCTAAACTTACTAATGACATTGGTTACAGAAGGATTTCTAAACTTCTGAATGTTCCAGTGAGCACTGTTGCGGCCATAATTTGAAAGTGGAAAGAACATCATTTCACCATAAACCAGCCATGACCAAGTGCTCCTCGCCAGAGTAGTGAAAAGAATTATCAGAAGAGTTGTCCAAGAGCCAAAGGACCACTTGTGGAAATCTTCAGAAAAGACCTGGAATTAGCAGGTACAATTGTTTCAAAGAAAACAATAATTAATGCACTCAACCACCATGGCTTGTATGCACTCTCACCACGCAAGACTCCACTGCTGAAGAAAAAGCATATTTAAGCTTGTTAAAAGTTTGCTGCACAACATTTGGGCAGCACAGTGGCGAAATGGTTAGCACTTCCGCCTGGCAGTACTAGGGTCGTTGGGTTGAATCCCAGCCACGGCACCTCCTGCCTGGAGTTTGCATGTTCTCCCTGTGCCTGTGTGGGTTTCCTCCGGGTACTCCGGTTTCCTCCCACACTCCAAAGACATGCTGGTAGGTTAATTGGATCCTGTCTGAATTGGCCCTTGTATATGAATGTGAGTTAGGGACCTTAGATTGTATGCCCCTTGAGGGTTAGGGACTGATGTGAATGTACAATATATATGTAAAGCGCTGCGTAAATTGACGGCGTCATATAAGTACTTGAAATAAATAATATAGTCTGCTCAGATGAGACCAAAATTGGACTCTTTGGATGCCATAATACACACCATGTTTGGAGGTCAAATGGCATTGCACATCACCCAAAAAACACCATACCAACAATGAAGTTTGAAGGTGGAAACATCATGGTGTGGGGCAACATACAGTACTGGAAAACTTCATATCATTGAAGGAAGGATGAATGGAAAAATGTACCAAGACATTCTTGATAAAAATTTGCTGCTATCAGAATGATGAAGATGAAACAAGGGTGGACATTTCAGCAAGACAATGATCCCAAGCACAAAACCAAGGAAACTGTTAATTGGTTTCAAAGAAAGAAAATAAAGCTGCTAGAATGGCCCAACCAATCAGCTGACTTGAATCCAATAGAAAATCTATGGAAAGAACTAAAAATCAGAGTTCATAGAAGAGGTCCACGGAACCTTCAAGATTTGAAGACTGTGTGTGGATGAATGGACCAAAATCACACCTGAGCATTGCATGCGATTAGTCTCTCCATACAGGAGGTGTCTTGAAACAAAGGATTTTGTACAAAGTAATAAATAAATTTCAGTTACCGTGTTCAATACTTTTTCTCTGTGTCATTCCATTTTATTACACATAAATTTCTTAACTTATTTTTATTGGTTTCTTTGTAATGTATGGATTGCATGGGTTGTTACTAACATGCGGTGAAAATTTATTGTCGATAGCACCTTTAGAAATATATTTACCGAGAAAAATAGTGACGTGTTTAATACCTATTTTACCCACTGTATAACCATAGTCAATGTTTGATCAAAATATGTAAACTACCAATAAGTGATACAGTTTCTAAGTTTGCTCTTACATATGTATTTATTGTAACTTGCTTTATCTACATTTGCAGTTTAGAAGTTATTAGAGATCACTAAAGAGTCCCTAAAGCAGAACCAAATGGCAGAAATACTGACCTTCAGCTGTCCTGATCGGCCAGCGCAGGATGATGTCACCCTCAAAAGTCATTCATCCCAGCATACTGGCACGATGCTGAAAATGTAAACAAAGCTGTGTATGGGCAGCTCCGTGTACATTCTGCAAAGGATTGTGAACAGGCAGATACGTTTATTTTTGCCTTTTGTTCCACTTTATCGCTGTAATGTCTACTTTACTTTAACCTCCCTTTAAAATAGTTAGGTATAGGTATTCTACAAACCAAGGAAGGCAAAAGATTTCTTAAACAAGCACTATACAAATGTTGCGGCAGCAGCATCTGCTGTGACACTACAGAAAAGTGGAAATGGGACAATTTTGCATCTCCATTTACTTGAGAAAAGTATGAAATATTCTCAACAGTTTAAATGTACCAAACAATATTGCACAACACGTTATTGCTAAACAGGAGCAGGGAGTCAGATGAGACAGATTTACTACAAAACGAATAAAATCCTCCCTCTTCTGCTCTCGTTGTGACAATATAAAACCTGCACCTGACCATTTCATAAGTGTGCGTTTGAGTTCAGTGAAAAATCCATCTACATTGGATAGTCTGTTTAAAAAAAAAAAAAAAAAAAAAAAAAAGAAAAAAGGAATATAATTTGCTAAATAAGAAGCAGTCTAATTTACATAATAAATATCCCTGTCCTCCTATGGATCAGATGTATGAAGTGTTATTCAACATTTTATATATATATATATATATATATATATATATATATATATATATATATATATATATATATATATATATATGAAAATTCACCAGTACTTATTGCCCTAAAAAGGAGTTCCAAAGCTAACATTTTTCTCTACCTTAATGCATTCCCTGCGTTTAGGTAACACACAGTTTACTACTTGCTATGCCTCTCCCCCCCCAAACACTTACCTGAGCCCTCTGTCGATCCAGCACTGTGCACAGCTGAATCTTGTTTCTCCAGTGGGAGCCATTGACTCCAGCTGCTGTCAGTCAAATCCTGTGAGAAGGGAATGGGGGCAGGACTGAGCTGCACACAGCTTGCTATGGGGACACATGCAGACAAAGAGGAGTGCAGCTCCAGCAGGGGACCTCAGAGGAGGAGATAAGAGGCTTCTCTGTGGTGCAATATCAAATATATATATATACACACACATACACCTCAAAATTTTCATTTGCCTGCTCGCATTTGGCAAGTGGAAATAATGTGGGGGTGAGTGTGTCTTAGGCACCGCATTAGAGTGGGGAGGGGGTGTACGGGCCACTGGCAGCACCAAAAAGAATACAGGAGGTTAAAACAGCAGCAACCCCTGTTGCCAGTTCTTGCCTTTCTGTAACTGCAGTGGTGGAGGTGGAGAATAATCATCTGTCAGCCCACCTTACTATTCGGGCTTCTCCCTGGCCACCAGCAGTTTCCTCCGCCCCCCTCAGCTGCTATAGGCAATAGGAGGAAAGCTGCAGAGCTGATATTGGCTGTATTTACAATTTTTAAAGCGCAGGGCCTAAAGGAGGCACAAGACTCCTGGAGTCTTCACCTCCATGGTACATCGTTGCACCCCCACCACCACCAGGAAAGGAAGAGGGCACCTGAATCTGAAAAACTGTGCACTGTAAGTCAATGTTCTGTGTTACACCGCTGACCTTTGCGCTATGTGTCACAGACATCAAAGGAAGCTCTGCTTAGTTTTCTCTTAATGCCACACTTTCACTTACCCTAGGTTCACACCTAAGTGTTTTCTGCAGCGTTTTGCAAAAACGCAGTGCAGTCCATTTAACATTATTTCCTATGGGACATGTTCACACCTGTGCATTTTCATTTTCACCTAGTGTGTTTTTTGGAAAGGGACAGGGACTTTTGTGAACATAAAAAGTTGCATTTCTAGTTCTATAGACTTCAATGGAAAAGCTGCAGAAACGCATGTATTTTGTTTTTTTTTTGCAGTGTCTTGCGTTTTAAATCTGCCCAGCAACAAGAAAAATAAAAAAAAAAGAAAGAAAAAATGCAAAACGCAACATAAATACGTAAAAAAAGTGCAAAAACGCAAATGCAAAACGCAATGCAGAAACAGCTCAAACACAACCTGCATAGGTGTGAACCTAGCCTTACAGAAAGTCTCTTACGTGTGGTTGTAAAGATGAACAAAAAATGCTCTAAGTGTATAAAAGGTTTGAGCAGTTACACATAATATTTTGTTTCCCTATTGATGTAAAGCACTTATTTTCCTTTTAGGTTTACATTGCTTTATGTTAATATTGTGAAAATTGTTGTTGTTAATATTTATTTTTGTAACTTTATTCTGCATAAAACATTTAACAGTGTAATTTCATTAGTTTATTAGGGCATGTTTAGGGTGGAATTAGGGGCGGAGCAGGGTTTGGGTGGGGCAACTGATGGTGAGTAACTCTTAAGGCCTAGCTAGTAATTCAGGTGCTTTGCCAGCATAAATAGTACACACCAGATTTGTCAGAAAACCTTTACTTTCCTTTTGGAATCAATATTTTCTATGGGACACGATACTACAAAATACTCCCACAAATGAGGGCCATTGATTGCAAACGAGATTTGTTAATTTGCACACACAAAAAAAAGTATTTTTCCTAACACATTCATTCAAGACCATGTTCCAAAAATGAATACACCCCAATGAAAGTCTTAGGAGCAAAGTAAAATTTTAGACAACAAAATCCTAATTAACAAGAATTCAACTACAGGTGAGTCTAATTATTCATTAAACAGGTGTCCAGCAGACAGTTGATTATAAAAGGGCGTTACTAAAAAAAGAAACCCCCTTTCCATTTCCTAATTAAGAAGAATTCAACTACAGGTGAGTCTAATTAGACAGTTGATTATAACAGGATGTTACTTAGTACAGAAAACCCCTATCCATTTCACTTTGTCAGCAATGGCACCACATGGAAGAGAAATGTCCTGAGAAAGAAAATTTCTTTACACAAGAAAGGTGAAGGCTACAAAAAGATCAGCAAACCTTTACTTACCAGTCGGAATACTGTAGAAAAAGTGATACAAAACTTTAACAAAGATGGAACTGCAACCATCTCACAGAGACGTGCAGGCTGTCCACGGAAGTTAACAACGCAACAAGAGAGTCTTCTGAAGAGAAAGGTTGAAGAAAATCACCATGCAAGTTCACTGCAATTAGATAAAGAAGTAGAAAGCCAAAATGGGGTGCGGCGTACACTGCAGAGTAAAGGTATTCATGGGTTTCAAACCCACGAAGGAAGCCTCTCCTAAAGCTCATGCACAAAAGAATTTGCCAGTGTCCATGTTGAAAAGATTACTGGGACTCTGTAGTGATGAGACCAAGATGAATGTTTTTGGAATCGATGGCTTAAACTGTATGGTGTCGCAAAGGTCAGGAGTACAAAGAAAAATGCATGGTGCCTACAGTGTAACATGGTAATGGCAACATCATTCTGCGGGCCTGCACGAGTGCTGCTGGTGTCAGGAAGCTGCATTTCATTGATGGTATCATGAATTCACAGATGTACTGTTCTATATTGAAAGAGAAGATGCTACCATCACTCTGTGCCCTTGGTTGTCATGCACGTTTCCAACATGAAAATGATCCAAAACACACATCTAAGGCCACTGTTGCATTTCCCAAGAACAGGATGAAAGTGATTCAGTGGCTAAGTATGATCTGAACCCAATCGAATGCCTATGGGGAATTCTGAACAGACAAGTTGAGCATCACTCTCCATCCAGCATTCAGGCTTTAAAAGAGGTCGTTCTTGAAGAATGAAAAAAGATAGAAGTTGCAATATGTCGCCAACTTGTTCATTTCATGCCTTGAAGACTCGGTGCTGTCCTTACAAATTATGGAGGTCATACAAAATACTAGATGGAGTAGTTTTTGTTGTGGGGTGTATTCATTTTTGCATCAACTAAATATTTTGTAATCAAAGTTATATTAACCTTACTTTCATGAAATGAGGTAAACAAATGTTCTATAAAACTCAGTTTTGTTAACATTTTGGAAATTGTTCTTGTGCTCACATTAATCAAAATTTTACGTTTCAAAAAAGTAATAATTTTTCTACCACACCAGTATGTATATCACAATAGTAAGATGTCTGTCAGTAAAACAACAAAAGAAAAATTGTGAACTGAAATGGCTTGGAAACTTCCTTATAAATAGGCCCTTGTTTGTTTATCAGTAGAAATTTTACTCAAATGTATGCTTACTTACTCTTAGAAAAACCTGATTTACAATGCATTTGTTTGCATAGAGAAAAGTTGTTAGCAGACCAATTCCAATAGAAATGCCTATTAAAAAATAAAATAAAAGCAGTTAACACATAAAAAAAAAATATCATAAACTGATAAGAAAAATAACAAAACTGAAAATTAAATATATACCTTACTACAGTTTGAAAGAAAACAAAAAAATTATAAACTAGATCTAAGCCCAATACTGTCATATTAGCTTTAATATGTTAATGTAATTTAAAAAGTTGCTTCCAATCTTTTTGAACCTGCCACTTTCTTTAAAATATCTGGTAAACCTACCATGACGATCCTTGTTCAGGCACATCCTGCATTGTCACTCTGTCACAAGCATCTCTAATGGAGACTACAAGCAGCTGTGCAGACACATAAAGCACATGTATGGTCCATTCTCGACATTATAAATAAATTAATCCAGAGGAAGTATGTGCAGCAGTGGATCAGCAGTGTGTAAGCAGGATGTGGCTGAAAGAGGCAGGAGATCAAAAGCACTGAGATGCAAAAATAGGAAGGGGATAAAAAAAAACAAAAACAAAACAAAAAAAACAAAAAACGTGCTAAACAAGATTAAGGGCCAGTTCACATCATGCAAGTTCCTGTGTGGTGTTACCTTTGTAATTACACCCGCTGCATGAAGTGCTTTTTGCGCACATTCTGAATCCCACAGGAATACACAGTGCATTTCTCTGCGATTCATGCATGGGCATGGTGTGAACCGGCCCTCAAAAAACAATGCACCAGCACGTCTGTAATTTAAAATGTTAATTAAGATTTAGATCTACTTTAACATTTTCTGAAGGTAACTTTTCTTTGCAAAATGTTGTTCTTAAAAGATTAATTCAAATTAAAAGAAAATAATTTAGCATTCACCATTGGGCAAGACAAATTTATAAAATGAAGCATAAAGTAACATCAAAGGACAGGCCATTTAAAGAGAAAGAAAACTCAAACCTGAAATACCAGAATAGCATTTATCACAGTGGCTTCTTAACCCACCCATGTGCACAGTGTTTGTGACACTTCAGAGATATTTTAACAGACAATTCTTACACTTTGAATGGTGCCAGATGTTAACAAAACAAAGCTTTTGGGTAATGGAATGCACTTGCTGCTCTTCATTTGGGCAGCCTGTGACATCAGCCCATGGAATCAGAGGTGGTTAGGCTCCAGATTATTCAGGTCACCCCTGATCTGCACAGATGACATTACAGGCATTTTGCCCATTATAGGAGTTTCAGGCATGATAAGCTGTATTTAATTACAAAAAAGTAAAAATAAAAAGTCCCTAAAGCATGGGTGTTGAGAATTTTACAATGCACTGAAATATTCACATTATGGCCTAAACCAACACACAACCCCAGGTTGTAACTAGGTTATCAGACCTATTAAAGGAAGCCTTACCTAAGATTTCTCATTCTGACAATACAAGATGCCTGCTTTTATATCTAAGTCGCTAGTTACTTTGAGTTGAGGACCTATTGAAATCTATGGGGCCAAAATTATACTATGCTGCACCAAAAGAATCACCTGCACCTTTTTAAAAATCAGACTGTACCAAGTTCCATTGGTGAGAACTGGCACCATAGAGAATAATGTGATTTCCATTGTCCTGCCAGTCAGAAGGCACAGAAGAAATTGCACTTCTGTAAACAGGGCCTAAGCATCCACACACCTTTAACCCCTTCACGCCGAATGGTGAAACAAATCTAAATGCCTAAGCACACTTTTGCAAGGTTGACATGTGTTAGTAAAACCGTACATATCACAACTACTTTGTACATCCAGGTGAATTATACCGCGTTTTTTTTTCAGGACAAATAGGGCTTTCATTTGGTTGTAAATGGTAATGGTTATCTCCTGTTTTTTTATTATCAAAGGAAAACTGGCTCAAAATAGTAAAAAAAAAAAATATTTTTTTTTTATTTAGCTGTGTGTTTCTTGTTACTACCATAACCTACCACCAAAGAACAACCCAAGATAAATTCTCCAGCTCTTGATGATTGCAGTGATACCATACATGTGTATGTTATTTGTTGTTTGTACCCGTAGTACAGCCCAGAAACAATAGTGCTCATTTTGTTTTTGTCTTTTTTACCTAAAACCCACTGACACCAATTTTTTTTTTTTAAATCCTGACCTTTGACCGTGACCTTGACCTAAACACTAACCCTGGCACTGAACTAGATCAAACCTTGCTCTAGGTATTTTTTCTTTTATTTATTAATATTTATCTTTTTTCTTTTACAAACATTTTTTTTCCTCTCTATGCCAGGAGTTAGAGAGATACAATTTATCTCTCTCCTCCATTCATAGAGAGAAAAAAATAAGGGGGCCGGGCTGTACAGTGACTGATCATTGTGATAGTCAATCAGAGGCTATCACAGCGATCATGTGACCCGGAATCGTGACGACCGGGACCCGGTGCTCTCAGTGACACCGCGGTCTTTGTGCTGGGAGTGTGCCGTGAGGCGCGCTCCCAGCACAAAGACAGGTACACAAATATGCGGAGCCATGAAAAAAGCCCAGTTCTGTGAGGCCGCATATTTGTGTTACGTCGGCGCCAAGGGGTTAAGCGAAGAGGCATGAAAGAACTAATCAATCCCTGTGTTACTGGATGCTTAGCTGGTAGCTCCTATTCACACTTTTGCCTGCATTTGCGGTCACGCTGGCATGCACAACAAATAAAATTACAGTATTCTCTGTGATGCTTGTTTGTGTCAATGCAGCACAGTGTGTGTTTTTTCTAAAGATACAGGTGCTTCTTTTGGTGCAACACAGTGCATTTTTGGCCCATACGCTATAATGGGAACGTATGGAAAGCGCATATACAATGCATTTATAACACATGTACATGCATTTTCAGCACAGTTTTGTGCAGAAAATCCAGTCTTCTTGTCCTCCAAAAAAAAAATGAAGCATGAAAAGGCATCAAAACCGAAAATGCAATACAGAAACACATGATTCTGCAACAGCACTAGTGTCAACTTAGGCTTACAGTCAGGATAATAGGGCTGCTTTGAATTTAACATTAAAGCTGAACATTACCTGTTAGGTGCTGAACAATAAGTTTGGCACTGAAGATTAATATATATGGAAAGCTTTTTTCCAGCCACTGGTAGACATGCAGGACTTCTGAGATACTGTTGCTGTTTTCTCTATTGTCTGCATGATTTGGATCATCTGGCCCATTTGCGCCATTGGAATTTGAGTGTGCATGACCATGCCGACTGTGTAAACGTATGGTTGGTCTGGTATGTCGAGACCCAGACCGTCCTTCACTTTCATAATTTGTAGGGCGGAGATTTATTGTCACTTCTCCAGTACTGCTGGAACCTTCTGCTGGTGAACGAACAGTGGGAAGAGAAAGACTAGCTGAGGAACCATCAATACTGCCGGCCTGATGAGCATGTCCAGAACTTGCCTGCATGGTTAGGGTATTCTGATCTTCTAAATTGCTGGCCTCACTGCTACATTTCCTGAATTAAAAGTATCAAGGTTAAAACATGAAGTATGTGTTTCTAATTATTACAACTACATAGCAAAGCAGAACAAATTTGTAAATGGCGAACTTCTGCTTCCGATCGCCTTAGGTGATTGCACTGGAAGTGGGAGCAGGTATCTATCAAATCCAGGTTCCAGCTCCCAAAAGATGCCAATTCCTAACAGGGAGCGGGAGACACAGCCTTAAAGCGGAACTTCCCCTTTTGGGTGGAGCTCTGCTTTAACCACTTCGCCTCTCATACCTGTTCACCCTCTATGGACCGGAGCAATTTTTAAATTTCTGCTATGGACCTGTTTATTCAGTGATAACTTTGTCATTGTTTTATTTAAGGGCAAACAAGGCTTTCTTTTTATGAGCATTGTCTTGCAACAATGATTTTTTTTTCATAATCCTTAAACAATTAAACATACCTAAACATAACAAAACGCACTTTCATTTCTTTGAGCAGTGTTAGTTTAAAAATACGGTTACTGCATATAAAACAGGTGAAGATTTTATTCTGTACTTTGTCCTGTTTAAAATGACACTAAAATTATGATTACGGCACAAATCATTGCAGTTATCTACAAATGAAAAAAAGTGATTTTTTTTACATTTTGGGCTTTTTAAAATGTGAAATTTGTAAATATATGTTAAAGGTGTAAAAAATAAAAATGGACAAAACAAACAAAAAAAGTTTAAATATTATTAGTTAACAATATAGAAAAAAAAAAATCAGAAAACTAATAATCGAATTGAGGAGAAGGAGTTAATTAGGGTTGATTAGAGTAAACTAAGGGTTAAAAAGGGTTTAAACAGAAACATTTAGGGACAGTTCACACTACCCGCAGTCCAGTGCGTTTTTTTTCTGCATCAAATACATATTGACAGAAGGTTACATGGTTTCCAATGGCATAGTTAACACCAGTACGGTCAGTTCTGGTGCGTTCCAGTTCCAGAAAAAAGTAGAACATTTTGCATTTTTTCTGCACTGAACTGTACTGGAAGGCAGGTAAACGCACCAAAAATGACCCAGAAAGCACATTTCAAGTTGAAGAAAAAAGAAAGCAGAAAAAATGAACCGGAACACATCAAAAACACACAGGAACACGGCAAAAGCGCGCATACAGAAACACATCCGGACTGCATTTCCATGGTGTGAACTGGCCCTTAATTAAAAAAATTACAAAACTTTTTTATACTTGTCAGGTTGCTTTAATTGACTTCATCTACAGCTCAAAGTTCATCCCTTTGAGCTATAGATGAATAAACAGATACAAAATGAAATTTTGTTTCTTTTAAGCAATGTTGTTGATAAACATTGCCAGACTGCTTTCCTTTGACAGCTCTAGATGCCAGAACTTTCTCTCTGTATTAGGCAGAAGGACAGGATGTGTTGCACACCCCCTGTGTACAGTGGATATAAAAAGTCTACACACCACTGCTAAAATGTCAGGTTTCTGTGATGTAAAAAAAATGAGACAAATAAATCCTTTCAGAACTTTTTCCACCTTTAACCACTTGCCCTCCAGAGGATTTACCCCCCCCCCCCCCCCCCCCCCCCCCTTCCTGACCAAGCCATTTTTTGCGTTACAGCTTTAACTGACAATTGCGCTGTCATGCAACGCAGTACCCAAATTAAATGTATGTCCTTTTTCCCCACAAATTGAGCTTTCTTTTGGTGGTATTTGATCACCAGTATGGTTTTTATTTTTTACGCTATAAAAAAAAACAAACAAAAAAAACCAGACAATTTTGAGATAAAAAAAAAAAAACAATATTTTTGACTTTTTGCTATTAAACATGTCCAGTAAAAAAAAAATGTAAAAAATCTAATTTCCTCATAAATTTAGGTCAAAATGTATTCTGCTACATGTTTTTGCTGGAAAAAAAATCCCAATACGTGTAAATTAATAGGTTTACGTGAAAGTTTAACATTTTTAAAAGAATAATTTTCCCCAAAAAATTGTGTTTCAAAAAGCGCTGCACAAATACTGTGGGACACAAAAAATTGCAAAACCCACCAATTTATTCTATAGGGCCTCGTTTTTAAGAAAATATATAATTCCCCTTCAGCACACCCCTCAGCTTGTTTGCTTAGTTTCACATTGATGGTCTGATTGTGTCTGCCTGTCAGTTTTTCAGGCGGACCTGATCAGACCATCCATAGACCTCTATGGACCAGCGGGTGTCAGCAGACAAGTGTCAGCAACCAATCTGATCCTGTACACCATCCATTCCCCATCGGATCCGTCTGGTGGATCAATTCGGATGAGTTGGGTGGAAACAGACAAGTGGTCCGTTTCCATCCGACCGCCCCATAGAAGTCAACGGGCTGTGACTGCGTCCGCTCTACAGCAGCAGAGCGGACACAGACCTGTCATTTGCCTGCTCAGCGGGAATCATTCCCTGCTGAGCAGAGCAAGTGGATCTGCTGATGGGTCTGTCCCATCTGAAAAGGGCCTAAACACTCTTTTCAGGGACCAGAAAAACTGGCTGCAATTAGTAGCTGCAGATTCCACTTACTAGCAGAATTATGAAGGAGAGTCAATTGTATCGGCTACAGGAATGCCACACACAGACAAAAAACAGGAACAAGTTCTATCTGACATGTTTCATGCTAGGCACACCGCTTTTATTGTAAGAGAAGCATTGTCAGTCTGGGGGGGGGGGGGGGGGGGGGAGGACATACTGGTGCGATTTCAGGTGTGATTTGAGAATTGAAATTGCATCTAATGAATGTGAATGTCAGTGTGCTGCAGCACAATTTCTAAAGTAGTTCTTGCATTACTTTTTCTGCAGTTTATTGCGATTTCACAAATGTTGAATATAATGGAAATCTTCATAAGTTGCAATAAAGTCTTCAGAAATCGCATGATTTTAAATTGCAGCAGTGTGACCGGTGACTTCGAGTCCATTCACACTTGTGCCACTTTAGGGTCCAAAGTTGCATGACAAGTCGCACCCCATGTTTCCCAATGAGTACCATTCATATCTGGGTGAGTTCAAGTCACAGCAACTTGAAAAGTCAGACCAAATTAATGCAGGAATTACTTTCATGCGACTTGAGGGCCATAGATTTCAATGTAAACCCTCCAAAGTCACACCTGAATGATATAAATGCGACTTGTGTGTAACTTTATATAGCACAATCATCCTTGGTCAAAACCAAAGTTGCACTCACCCAAAGTCGCATCAAGTCACAATAAAAATCGCAGTTTTGAAATCGCACAAGTATGAATGGAGCCTAACACTTTATAATCAGATACAGCATCCTTTTGGGATAAAGGATTTACATACATAGATAAAAGCTGCTCATTGTAAGCACTAGGGTCGCCACCTCATCTCTTTAAACCAGAACACATTAATTACACAGGTTCTGAGGCTAATTTAATGCAGATAAGGCACTGAGTTTAATTACTACTTCAATACCGGGCACTTTTACCCACTTCCTGCCCAGGCCAATTTTCAGTTTTCAGCGCTCTCACACTTTGAATGACAACTGCGCGGTTATGCAACACTGTACCCAAACTACATTTTTATCATTTTGTTCACACAACTAGAGCTTTCTTTTGCAGGGATGTTGGATTCCTATTACCAGACACCCGGGACATGTAGTTTTTTTCTACCTTTAGCCCTGCTGCGGGCTCACCTGTCAGGTGGAAGCATTCGGGGGCAGCGCTGCCGTCTGCTAGAGGGGAGGGAGAAGAGCGGACAAGTAATTTATTGCTTTTTTTTTTTGCCCTAAAATTAACTTGTATTTTTTTTACTAAACTTGTGCGGTAAAATTATGCGCCATAAAAAAATCAGAACTACCACTATTTTATTCTCTAGGGTTTCTGCTTTCAGAAAATATATGATGTTAGGGGGTTTTATGTAATCTTCAGGCCTAAAATGATTTTTTAAACGTATGCAAAAACCGGCTCTGGCAGCGAAAGGGAAAAAGGATAAGCCATGACCCACCCTTTCCTGACGAGCAGCCAATCGTTGTCCATCACACTGTTAGTCATCGAGGGAGGAGGAGATAAACAGCACAATGTTAAAAATATTACACATTTAGGTCGCCATAAAGCCTCTTGTTTTTTTGGTTAAAACTTTTTTTTTTTTATCTGGACAAGTAGATAGGGGCCCCGATTTAGTCCCTGGACAAGTAGTTTTTTTTTAAATTTCCACAACGCTGTTTTGGTGGGATTGAATCACCATTGGGTTTTTTATTTTTTGCTAAATTAACAAAAAAAGACCAAAAATTATGAAAAAAAAAAAGTTTTTCTTTGTTTCTGTTCTAAAAATTTGCAAATAAATAATTGTTCTTCATAAATTTAGGCCAAGATGTATTCTAATTAAACAAGATAATATTAAAAGGATCTATGATGTATTGAGATCTGTTTGCACACGTCACCTATATGATTAATATTGTCCCGATTTAGGGAAACACTTAATGGTTAATTCCCTGAAGGGAATAATGATCTGAAATCACTTTATTTAGGTTCCATTGAACCTCTTTTTTGCACGTATTGCACTAAGTGATTTATTTTATCCTGTTCACTTTTATCTGTTTTACTTGTTTGTGTAGATGTTTAATGTTTTAGCGCTGCATCATCAAATTATTAAGATCTATTCTGCTACATTTCTTTGGTGAAAATAACCCAAATCAGTATTTATTATTTAGTCTGTAGGAAAGTTATAGAGTTCGCCGTCGGCCAATATGAAAAAAAAAGCACCGATACAGGTGCCGAAAAAACCCCCCGCCCCTCGCCGGTCGGTAGTTCTGAGCCTTACCTAAGATACCATGGAACGATACCGGCGCTTGGCATAGAGATTAGCAAAGGAAAGATGGCCTCCACTCATCTCTATGCCCTTGGATGTCACTTCCCATTCCGGCCATTTTTTTCTTTTAACCACTAGATCAATGCTTTTTTTTGATCCACATCTTTACATTGCAGAGGAGAGATGTGGGATCTTATTGACCCAATATCTCTCCATAAAGAGGACCTGTCACTAATTATTTCTATCACAAGGGATGCATGCGTTTCTTGTGATAGGAATAGAAGTGATTAAATATGTTTTAAAGGGACAGTGAAAAAAATAAAAATAAGTTTAAAGTGCCCTCGCCCCCCCCATGCTTGCACAGTGGTGAACGTATACATAGGCCATGCCCACATATGTAAACGATGGTCAAACCACACACGTGAGGTATCGCCACGAACGTCAGACCAAAAGTAACAATTCTCGCACTAGACCTCCTCTGTAACTTTACACTGCTATCCTGTAGAAATTTTTAAATCATCACCCATGGAGATTTTTAAGTACCGCTGTTTCACGGCATTCCACGAGCGTGCGCAATTTTAAAGCGTGACATGTTGGGTATCTTTTTACTCGACGTAACATCCTCTTTCATATTTTACAAAAAAATTGGGGTATATATTTTTTTTTTTAATCAAAGTGTATTTTTTCCCAAAAATATATTTTTAAAAAAAACTGCGCATTTTATCAATTTTCGGCCAAGTGCATTTTGAAGTTTCAGGACCAGAATTTTCATTTCGGTGCACCACTAACAGATATCTCACAAAGGACCCCTTTTTGCAAAGTAGAGACAGTCCAATGTTTTTCATAAGAGACATGGCGAGTTTTTAGAAGTTGTAATTCTTTGTCATAATTTTTAGTAAAATGAAGAAATTAAAAAAATTATTTTCACAATTTTTTTTTTTTTTACATACCATCACCAGTGCACTACAGGATCGTCATATAACTGGTGTGGCGGTGATCAGGGACACTGACTGGTGATAGTACAAAAAAAAAAAATTGATAATTTATTTTTAAAATATTTTTAGTACTTTTTTTTCTTACGATTTTCTTTTCATATTACACTATGGCCAAAGTAATACAATGCCACCATAGGGAAGTGATTAGTGGGGTTTTTTTTTTACAATATGATTGCTTATATCAAAGAATTTCTTTGCTGCAAGCTTTTAACTGAATGAAATTGATTAATTCAGATAGGCTCCTGGTCTAGGGTTCTTGGTTTGCTACAAACGCTATTTCACATTACGGTCTGTAGGGATGCAAGGGTGGCCCTCCTGCATTGCCCAATATTGGGTCTGTCTAGGTCTCAGAAGAAATTGGCATCCTATTTATTTCGGCCAAACGTGCTATAGCTCAAGTTTGGAGAACCCCTTCGGTTGTCTTCCAGGGGGTGAGGACCCGGATGAATGCTATGTTGGTAAATGAACAGATGTCTAGCGTTCTTCATGATTCTCATCCGAGATTCCTTAAGGTTTGGGAACCTTGGATATGTTATTCCTTACCATCCCTGCCTCCTACCAGTTATGGCCTCTTATAGTCACGGCCTGTGCTAGCCCTGGAACCATGATTCTTCTAGTTTCCCTTTCATCCATGTTTTCTGATTCCCTTTTTTTTTTTGTTTTATTTTCTTTTTCCTTTCTTCTAACCTTTTTTCTTTCCTCTTCTTTTTCCGATAATATGTTGGATTACTGCTGCTATTATCTTTTCGACTTTTTGCTGTCCCTCCTTGATGTCATTGGACATTCCGTTATTTAGCTAATACAAGTCAGCAGGATGTATCTGTTTCTGTGTTATTGTGCTGCTCTGCCCCTGCGTCGGCGTATCTTGAGCTTGTTGTATTCCTAAAACAAAACTTTCTTAATAAAAATATTGAGAAATATTGAATGATTAATTCAGGTTATTTTTGTTGTGATTAGATGTGATTGGCCACGGCTAATCACATGACACAGATAGGATTGGCCCAGTCTGTGCATGTGATCACTGTGACCGATCACAGCTAGTGACACAATTGTATACAATGGATGGTATGAAAGGAGGCCATCCATTGTTTACAATGGTTATGTGGCCTGCTGTGATTGGTCACAGCAGGTCACAAAGGACTGGCAACAGCCCGGTACACAGATCTGTCATTGGCCGTGTCCACAGCCGGTGGCAGATCTCGCCACAGCGCAGTCCTGTGGGCACACGCAAGGCGCGATCTCGGTAGGACGTCATATGGCGCCCACCTGGATCGACGAGTGTCCCGCCCGGCCGTCATTTTCCTATTGGCCGGGCAGGAAGTGGTTAATCTGCCACAAAACCTATATAATCAATATATGTTTGGTTTTAAAGGGATGAGGTGGCAACCCTAGTAAGCACCCTTGTGGTAGATGGATTTTCTTGACTCTCTAACTGCTACACCAGCAAGACAGCATGTCCTGTTGAAAAACTACAGACTTACTGGCTGGATCACCAGATGAAAATAGAAACATGCCTAAAAAGGAAAACTAATGCGGCCATCACAGCCAAGATATAATAAATGTTTGCTTTTGGGATTAGAAAACAGTACACAGTAAGCCATGATGTCACAGGAAACTGATTAGGGTTTATAAGGACATGCAGTTATGAAAAAGAACTTGCTAGTGCTGCTGGTCATTCCTGAAGGGTCCTAAGTATTCCGTACCGTGTGCTGGTCTTCTAGAACCCCTAAAGTTTACATAAAGCACATCCTCACCGCTCAGAACACGGCCGGAGCTTCATACTGTCCCGGGAAGTAGTGACCGCAGCAGGCCATGTCCACCACAACACAAGCCCCAGGCTCCTCGTACGGGTGATCCGCTCTGTCTCCGGTTCCGGGTTCTGCGGGCCTGACCTTCTCCAGCCGACAACAGCACTACGTCACTGAGGGGGCGGGGTGTGTTTACTCCACTGTGGGTCCGCGTGAGCATGGAGCGCCGCTGCACGTCATGACGGGAACAATCTGTGTGCGTGGTTACCAAAGACAGGGCTGAGTGGCGTCCTCTGACCCTAGCAACCAAGTCTTCCCTCGCTCAAGTAACCGATTCTTCCATCGAATCTCTACTAAGTACACGGGAGACTTCAATAACCAATACACAGGACATAGCTAAGGTTTGTACAGCGGCTCTGCTTAGGTTTGATGAATCCAGGGCGGTCGTTAACATTCTTTTTTACTTTAACCACCAGCCTACAGGGCACTTATACCCCCTTCCTGCGCAGGCCAATTTCCAGCTTTCAGTGCTGTTGCACTTTGAATGGCAATTGTGCGGTCATGCAACACTGTATCCATATGAAATTTTTATCATTTTTTTGTGACTAATACAGCTTTATTTTGGTGGTATTTAATCACCTCTGGGTTTTTTAGTTTTTCTTAAACAAACCAAAAACCACTGAAAATTTAAAAAAAAAAAAAAAAAATTTTTCTTAGTTTTTGTTATAAAATTTTGCAAATAAGTGATTTTTCTCCTTCACTGATGTGCGCTAATGAGGCTGCACTGATGGGCACTGATAGGCTGCACTGATGGACACTGATTGGTGGCACTGATGGGCACTGATTAGGAGGCACTGGTAGGTGGCACTGATGGGCATTGACAGGCATCACTGATGGGCACTGAAAGGCAGCACTGATATATGGCACTGATAGGCGGCACTGACTGGCACTGATATGCAGCACTGACGGGCACTGATAGGCGGCAATGATGCACACTGATAGGCGGCACTGATAGGTGGCACTGATTGGCAGCACTGATAGGTGCCACTGACTGGCATTGATAGGTGGCACTGACTGGCACTGATGTTTGACACTGAAAGGCAGCTCAGATGGGCAAGGATATGTGGCACTGATGTGGCACTGATGGACATTGACAGGTGGCACAGCTGGGGCTACACAGATCATCAGGGCACACTGATCATCAGTGCCCTGATGATCTGTGTACATGTCCCCTCCGAGGAATGCCGATTACTGGCTCTCCTCTCGAGCTGTCAGTGTGACCGCTCGTGAGGAGAGAAATGCTGACAACCGGCATTTCCCTGTTTACATGTGATCAGCTGTGATTTGACACAGCTGATCACATGACCAGCCGACATCTTCGGGTCTTTCTGTTGATCGGAGATCCACTGTGTCCGAGGGACACAGTGCACCGCCGGTCGCTACGCTGCACACTCCCAGAGCCACGCATGCGCGGTTAGAATGGGAGGACGTCTCATATGACATCCTTCCAGAACGAGAGAACCGCCTTGCGTCCGTCATTTTACTATATGGCGGGCGGGAAGCGGTTAACCACTTGACCTCCAGAAGATTTACCTCCCGCTCATTAACCAGGCCATTTTATGCAAAACGGCGCTGCATTTCTTTAACTGACAATTGCGCGGTCATGCAATGCTGTACCCAAATGAAATTTATGTAATGTTTACCACAAATAGAGCTTTCTCTTGGTGGCATTTGATCACCTGTGCGTTGCGGTCATGCAATGCTGTACCCAAATTAAATTTGTAATTTTCTTTCCCCACAAATTATTATTAATATACAGGATTTATATAGCGGCAACAATTTGCTCAGCACTTTACAATATAAAGGGAGTCAATGCAGCAATGATACCGTTCAATACAAGAGGGTTAGGAGGGCCCTGCTCCTTAGAGCAAAAAAAGCTTTCTTTCAGTGGTATTTGATTGCCTTTGCGGGTTTTTTTTTACGCTATAAACAAAAAAAGCCAACAATTTTGCAAAAAAAAACACAAAAAAACGCCTATATTTTAGACTTTTTGCTATAAATCATATCCGATAAAAAAAAATGTAAAAAATTTAATTTCATAAATTTTAGCCAAAATGTATTCTGCTACATGTCTTTGCTAAAAAAAATCCCAGTAAGTGTATATTAGCCCTGGTTCACACTGATGCAGTGCGGAATTCGCAGCGTTTTCAGTGCGAATTCCGCACCACCTCACAATTGCATCCCGTTCACACTGACCGATGCGGGTGTGTATGTTCTGCGGTACAATGTGCAGAATCGGATCGCATAAGTGTGAATACCTATGTGAGCTGATTCTAGTGCGGACCAAAAAAGGGTCCTTCACGTTTTTGGTGCAGGTGCTGTGCGAATAGAGCCATACAAAATGAATGACTCCGATTGCACCGCATACAAATCACATGTGATTTGTACAGGAATGTGGTTCGGTTCCTGTGCAAATCACATGGGATTGCCCACACCGCTGCAATGTGAACCAGGGCTTAATAGGTTTACATGAAAGTTATAGCGTCTACAAATGGTGGTGTATATACGGGAATGATCTATTTCTTTTTTTTATAGTAGTAATGGCGGCAATCAGCGACTTATAGCGGCGGACTGCGGCAGGAATTCTGACTCTGGCACTGGGTGGGAACTGCCAAACTGCCACTGACATCTCCAGTGACACCAATACAGTGATCAGTGCTAAAAAGCACTGACACTGTACTAATGATACTGGGCAGGAAGTGGATAACATCTGGGGCAATCAAAGATTAAACTGTGTACTGTTTTGTGCTTACTGTGTTCTGTTTTACTAGGGTATGTGCTTCTTTCTATCTCTGTGCTTTGCAGAGAGATAGAAAGTAGCACATCCCCACTGACAGGAGAGAGATCTGTGCTGTTTACACACAGATCTCTCCCCTGTCAGCTTCTGCGCCGATCACAGAGTCCCGGGTCATAAATTGCTGGTCAGTTGACATCTTCAAGAGCCACTGACAGCGCAAGTGTGCCCTCTGCCCGGTAATGCAAAATCTCATATATTTACGTGATTTTACAACAGCGTGGCCGCCCTGTAGCAGTACATCTGCTACGGGGCTGTCACTTTTTCCGAGCAGCACAATGCTCAGGTGTAAACAGGCGCCTTGAGAATAATGAGATTCTTCATCTTGAGCGTTGTTGCTCTTTGGGAATCACGCAACAAAATCTTCAGGTATAAAGGGGGGCTAAAGTGCAACTTTACTTAAAGCAATAATAAACTGCATCCAAAAAAAAAAAAATCTCCTGCAAGGTAAAAGGCATAATGTGCTAGCATCACATACTAGCACATTATGTAAAACTTACCTTAACCCCTTCACTCCTATGGCTAAAACAAATCTTATAGCCTAAGCACAATTTTGCAACTTTGACATGTGTTAGCAAAACCATACATATCATCACAACTACTATATGCATCCTAGTGGATTATACATTGTCTTTTCAGTACAAATTGGGCTTTTATTTGGTGGTAAATGGCAATGGATATCTTCTGATAGGAAAACTGACCCAAAACAGTAAAAAAAACTTTTTTTTTAAATTTAGTTGTGTATGTCTGGCTACTACCATAACCAACCACCAAAGAACAACCCAAAATTATTTCTCCTGCTCCTGACAATCGCAGTGATACCACATATGTGTATGCTAGTTGTTGTTTGTACCCGTACTACAGCCCAGAAACAAAACTGCTCATTTCGCTTTTTTTTTTATCCTGCCACTAACTGACACTGATACTAATTTAGAAATTTAAAAAAAAATGCTGACCTTGATCTTTGCCCCTGATCTTGACCCAAACACTAACCTTGGCACTGACCTAGATCAAACCTTGATTTAGGTATGTTTATTTATATTATTATTATTTATTTAATTAATTATTTTTACAAACACTTTTATTTCTCTCTAAAAGGACCTCCATTCAGAGAGCGAAAACAGGGGGGACGGGGTTAACAGTGACTGATCACTGTGATATCCAATCAGAGGCTTTCACAGTGATCATGTGTCCCGGAATCGGGCGTTCGGGGTCCCGAGTGTTAAAACAGGACCCAGGGTTCTCACTGAAATCATGGTCTTTGTGCTGGGAGCGCACCGTGCAGCACGCTCCCAGCACAAAGACAGGTGCACAAATTAGCGGTCCAATTGAAAAAGCCCAGTCTAGTGGGGATGCTAATTTGCGTTTGCTCGACACCAAGGGGTTAAAACGAAGCCCTCCAGCGGCGCGCTGTCACTGCTGTAGAGGCTTCCATCTTGACCCAGTCTTCCTTCTGGGTTCGTGAGCTCCGGTCATCTGGCTGGCTGAGCCGCGATGACGTCGCTCCTGCACATGTGCACGGGAGTCTCAGGACAAGGCACAGTGCTCTGAAGGAACGGCACAGGCATGCCGTTCCTTCAGAGCGCATGCGCCGGCTGTAGAAAAAACTGAATATCTCCTAAATTATGCACATTTAGGAGATATTCATTTTACCTACAGGTAAGTTTCATTATAAGCTTACCTGTAGGTAAAATTTAACATTGACTATTTTTCATCCTTATGCTGCTAGAATTAGTAAATAGATAGGAAAATATACAGTATCATATTTACTTGTTTTAAAACATTTCTTTTACATTTCTTCAGTTACTTCCTAGTTTCCAGGCCTAGGCAAATTATGTAATACACCACAGGAGTTTTCAGGGGAGTCTCTCCCTGGCACTGGCATGTTCAGTGTGGGCAGCTGGCTGTGACAGCTTGACAGCTTGTGGCTACACAGCCGGGTGCCCACTGCGCATGAACGAATAGCTCTGCACTTTGTGAATGGTCTCATAGCCTTCTGGGACCTGTCACATGTGCCAGAAGACTACAGGGAGGAACAACTTTAGCTTCTGATCATCTAGGAGATTGCAGCTGAAGTGGGACTGGGTACCTGTCAATTTTGGGTACCTACTCCCCCAAAGGTGCCTTCCTTAACAGGGGGCGGCAACCAGTCTTTAATGCGGAACTTCTCCTTTTAGGTGCAGCTCTGCTTTAAGGAGTGGATGGAGTTTAAAGTGTTACTAAACCCAGGACCCTGCATTTACTACATCTGGTCTCCTACAGTACACACAACATGGAAATGCAATTATTTTAGTAAATATAAACTGCTAAATACCTTTTCTCATCAGCGGTTACAGCAGTCTTGTGACTTCTATCAGTGTCCAGCAAAGCACTGGTACACAGCTTGTAGGAAGAGTTTTCATTCTCCTGTAGGAGGATGTAGGACCCCTGACCTCTTCTGGAGAGTGCTGATTGGCCCTGTGCTGATCACATGCACTCTCCCAAGAAAGAAAAAACTTTCTAGCAATACACGCCAAACTGAGCATGTGCAGAGTGTCTCCACACTATATGTCTTATCAGGAAATATGAGGGGGACACTGGAAGAAGGGGGAAATCAGAGAAGACAGGATCAAACAGCATTTTTACACAATGCAAAGGATTGACCTTTTAGGTTCCACAGTGATTATATCCAGCATGCTTTACTACATATACAGACTGATATTACTGTTGTTTGTTTAGAAACACTTAAACAAAAATAAACCTTTACAACCAATTTAAAGAAAAAATAACATATATGCCTGTACTTACCTGCTGTGTACTGTAGTTTTGCACAAAACAGTCCGGATCCTCCTCTTCTCAGGTCCCCTACCGGCGCTCCTGGCCCCTCCCTCCTGTCAGGTGCCCCTACAGCAAGCAGCTTGCTATGAGGGCACCCGCTGCTTCATTCTGTCCATTCACACATGGAGCCACGGCCCGGCCCCGCCCCCTCTCTATCGTCTCATTGTCTCACAGGCTGTGATTGACAGCATTGGGAGACCATGGCTCCTGCTTCTGTCTCAGCCAATGAGGAGAGGGAGACCTTAGACTCCAGTGCAGATCGCTGGATCGAGAGAGGGATAGGTGAGTGTTAGGGGGTGCTGGGGGGGATGCTGCACAGAGGTTTTTTTTATCTTCATGCGTAGAATGCATGAAGGTAAAAAAACTTGAGCCTGTAGAACCACTTTAAGAGCTCAGAAAGCTTGCCCTTGAATTGCTTTTTGTAAGCATTATGAGCATTCCATAACGGGAAAATATCAATATCAGAGGAAGAGTTGGTGCTGAAATAATCACAAAAAAAAGACTTGACAATTGGTGGGCTGTTGGGTTACCGAGTTATTACATTGTCAAACATATGTTGGGGAACAGACATCAATCTCTTCCACCGACAGAGAAATTGCCGCGTGGTAAAACCACGTGTCAGAAATGGAGGAGGAAGAGGTCTGTTGAAGCAGCCATTTATCAACAAAGAAATAGTCTATTCTAGAGTAGGTTTGATGACTTGGAGAAAAAAAGGTGTAGTCTTTCTCTCCTCCATGATGACATCTCCATATACCATATAGTTCTTCAGTGTAAAGAAGGTTTGCCAGAGCAGTGCA